TACGCGTCTGCTCAGGTAGCTACCCAGTGTGAGTGTCGCTGCCTGTCGCACGACACTCTTCTGTGGCACCACCGCCTTGGTCACCCCTCCCTGCCTCGCCTTCGTCGCATGCACTCTCGCTACCTGGTCTCTGGCCTTCCTGAGTCTCTGCCTGCCCTCCCTCCCTCGCCTGCGCCGCCCTGCATTCCTTGCGTCGAGGGGCGGCAGCGCGCCGCTCCTCACTCCTCCTCGTTTCCTCCCACAGAGGCTCCCCTGCAGACTCTCCACATGGACGTGTGGGGCCCAGCCCGCGTCCGTGGACAGGGCCACGAGCGGTACTTCCTGCTGGTCGTCGACGACTACACGCGTTACACCACGGTCTTCCCCTTGCGCAGCAAGGGGGAGGTCCCTGATGTTTTGATCCCCTGGATCCGCGCTGTTCGTCTCCAGCTCCGCGAGCGGTTCCGGTCGGACTTTCCTGTACTGCGTCTGCACTCTGACAGAGGTGGTGAGTTCTCTTCAGACCTCTTGGCAGCCTACTGTGCGGAGCACGGCATCCGCCAGTCGTTCACGCTTCCGGCCTCTCCGCAGCAGAATGGGGTTGCTGAGCGCCGCATTGGCTTAGTCATGGAGGTCGCTCGTACCTCCATGATCCATGCGGCTGCCCCCCATTTTCTGTGGCCGTTTGCGGTCCGGTACGCCGCGCATCAGCTCAACCTCTGGCCCCGTGTCTCCTTGCCGGAGACCTCGCCCACACTGCTGTGGACGGGGAAGGTTGGCGATGCGTCGCGTTTCCGGGTCTGGGGTGCTCGTGCCTTTGTCCGCGATACCACTGCGGACAAGCTCTCCGCTCGCGCCATTCCCTGCGTCTTCCTTGGCTTTGTCCCTGACGCGCCTGGCTGGCAGTTTTACGACCCCGCCTCGCGCCGTGTCTTTCCGTCTCAGGACGTCACCTTTGATGAGTCCGTCCCCTTTTACCGTCTCTTTCCCTACCGCACTGCTCCTCGCCCCCTCCCGCCGCTCTTTCTCGCCCCAGGTCCTCCCCAGGTAGACCCCCTCCCCGCGCCAGGTCCTGCTCCTTCAGGTGTTTCTCAGGTAGACCCTCCCGTGCCTGCGCCTGTTGAGGTCACTGGTGACTCGGGTCCTACTGGGGGTGGTACTGTCTTTGGGGGTGCTGAGCCTGGGGGTGCGGAGCTTGGGGGTGCTGAGCCTGGGGGTGCGGAGCTTGGGGGTGCTGAGCCTGGGGGTGCGGAGCCTGCGCGTGAGGACCCAGGAGGTGCTGAGCCGGGGGGTGCGGAGTCTGGGGACGCTGAGCCTGAGCGTGAGGAGCCTGGAGGTCCTGAGCCTGGGGGTGCTGTGTCTGGAGGTGCTGAGCACGAGCGTGAGGAGCCTGGGGGTACTGAGTCTGGGGGTGCGACGCCTGAGGGTTCTGAGTCTGCTGCTGCGCGGTCTCCTTGGAGTAGCCGCCTTTGTCCGCGTGTGCCTCTCACCTCACAGCAGCTGCACGACTGGTACGGTCGCCGTCAGGGTCGCGGAGGTACTTCTGCTGACGTCACTGGAGCTGGGAGTGGTGCTGGTCCCGAAGGTGCTCGTACTGGAGGTGCTGGAGCTGCTGGGGTTGGAGGTACTGCTGAGCCTGAGGGTGCTACTACTGGAGACCCTGGGTCTGGGGGTGCTGCTGCTGGAGACACGGAGGCTGGAGACCCTGGGACTGGAGGTGCCGGTTCTGGGGGTGCTGCTGAGGGTACTGGAGCTGCTGAGGGTACTGGAGCTGCTGGAGGTGCTGGAGCTGCTGAGGGTGCTGGAGCTGCTGGAGGTGCTGGAGCTGCTGAGGGTACTGGAGCTGCTGGAGGTACAGGAGCTGCTGAGGGTACTGGAGCTGCTGGAGGTGCTGGAGCTGCTGAGGGTGCTGGAGCTGCTGAGGGTGCTGGAGCTGCTGGTGCTGGTGGCACTGCACAGCCGCGCCTGTTCTTTGCTCCACCTCTCCGTCGTCTCTGCCACCGCCTGACTCCATACTTCGCCAGGTTCTTAGCCTCCCGTCGTCTACTGGTCTTCCGTTACAGCCTGGCTCACCTCTGCCTGCTCCTTCTCCTTACGCTGAGCAGACAGGGGGCCTTGCTGAGCGTCGTGAGCCTGCGTCGCGTCCTGTCTCACATGTCCGTTCTGGTCGTTCCAGTCGTCGTCTTCCTTGTCAGCGTCAGCCGGCTATCCCCGGCCCTTTCCTTGTAGTCCGTCGTCCTTCCTCTCCTCCGCAGCGTGTTCCTCTGCCGTCTCCTCCTGCGTCTTCTCTGCCTGACGTTGCGGACCCTGAGTCTGACCGGTTTCGTGCTGAGCACCCTACTGTCACGCGTCTGCTAGCCACTGTTGTCACTGACCCGTCATTTGAGTCTACTGCTGCGTCTGCCTTTGTCGCTGAGCTGGTTGACTTTGCTGCTGCCTGTCGTCTAGACTACGCTGCTAGTCTTGTTGCTGAGTCTGAGTCTGTCTGTCCTCCGTCCGTCGGGGGTGAGTGTGCTCTTGGCACGGACGTCCTTGAGGACAGGCAGGAGGACCTTGAGTGTCTTGCCGCCGCTGCGCCTCATCTCGTGGCCATGCTGCTTGCCCCTGAGGGAGACCCGGATGCTCCAGACATCCCGACCCCGCGCTCTTACGCTGAGGCGATCGCGGGTCAGTACTCCTCTCAGTGGCAGACAGCCATGGACGCAGAGATGGCATCCTGGAAGTCCACAGGCACGTACGTCGACGAGGTTCCCCCTCCTGGGGCGAACATCGTCAGTGGCATGTGGATTTTCAGGGTGAAGCGGCCGCCAGGTTCTCCGCCTGTCTTCAAGGCTCGTTACGTTGCTCGAGGTTTCAGTCAGCGAGAGGGAGTTGACTTCTTCCAGACTTTCTCCCCCACCCCGAAGATGACCACTCTTCGGGTGCTGCTGCACGTTGCCGCTCAGCGTGACTACGAGCTTCACTTGCTTGACTTCAGCACAGCTTTCTTACAGGGCAGCCTGCACGAGGAGATCTGGCTGCGCCGCCCACCTGGCTTCACTGGGTCGTTCCCTCCTGGTACCCAGTGGAGCCTCCGGCGGCCGGTCTACGGTCTCCGCCAGGCGCCACGTGAGTGGCACGACACACTGAAGACGACACTTGCGGCTCTTGGGTTTGCTCCTTCGACTGCTGACCCGTCGCTGTTTCTGCGCACCGACACTTCGCTGCCGCCGTTTTACATCCTCGTGTACGTCGACGACTTGGTCTTTGCCACTGCTGACACTGAGGCTCTCGCCCTGGTGAAGTCGGAGCTGCAGAAGAGACACACGTGCACAGACCTGGGTGAGCTGCGCAGCTACCTTGGCTTGCAGATCACTCGGGACAGAGCACGCCGCACTATCACACTGACTCAGTCACACATGGTGCAGCAGGTCCTTCAGCGCTTCGGCTTCACCTGGTCCTCAGCACAGCACACTCCTTTGGCTACAGGTCACTTGCTCTCAGCTCCACCTTCGGACGAGTCCGTAGAGCCGAGTGGTCCTTACCCAGAGCTAGTGGGCTGCCTCATGTACCTGATGACCTGCACTCGTCCTGACCTTGCGTACCCTCTTGGCCTTCTGGCTCGCTACGTGGCTCCTGGTCGGCACCGAAAGGTGCACATGGATGCTGCTAAGAGGGTACTGCGCTACTTGTGCAGTACATCGGGCATGGGGCTCGTGCTTGGAGGGCGGAGTCCAGTTGTCCTCACTGGGCACTCAGACGCTTCTTGGGTTGACGACCAGGCTACACAGCGGTCGTCACAGGGTTACTCGTTCAGCCTTGGCTCCGGCTCTGTTTCTTGGCGGTCTACACGTTCGTCTTCTATTCTCAGCTCCAGTTGTGAGGCTGAGATCTACGCCACAGCCATGGCTGCACAGGAGTTACGCTGGCTCACCTACCTGCTGACCGACCTGGGAGAGCGGCCTCGTTCTCCTCCAGTTCTGTACGTAGACAACAAGGCCGCCATTGCCTTGTGTTAGGAGCACAGACTGGAGCACAGAACGAAGCACATCGCTCTGCGTTACTTCCTGGCTCGAGAGTTGCAGCAGCGGGGTCAGCTTCGCCTTGCTGACGTGGCCACTCGGGCCAACACTGCTGATATATTCACCAAGGCACTTCCGTCTGGTGACCATCAGCGCTTTTGTACTTTGTTGGGCCTTGTGCCTACGTTTCCACACTTGTTGTAGTCTCTGCTTGTACTGTGATATATATATATATACCTGCATGCTTGCTCTTGCTAGATAGAGATCACTGTGCTGTTCTTGTTGCTTATATACCTCTGCATGTGGACTGGCCTTGTGGCCATTTACTTGTGCTCAGTGTGTGTGGTGACATTGTGATCCACCCTGAGCTGTGTTTTGTTTCTTCTCTTGACTGGTCTTGTGACCATTGCTTGCTCTGGCTATCCCCCATTTGGCCTATGGGGGTGTGTCAAAACATATGCATATTATTATCTAGGCTATATTGGGGCTAGCCTTAGGGGGTACAGAAACATTCTCGACACTCTAGTTTTGTACCCCAACCTTGACCTAATGACATCATTTTTGCCTTAGTCTCGACAGCTGTCTGCCCGACGGTCCAGATGCTTTCGTAACCGTGCGACCCTTCGCGTCACTTGTGGCTTTTCGCCTTCACTCTCGGTAGTGCGTGCTTCGATTGCTGTGGTGAGGAGTGCGCAGTAGTGTTTCAATAATCACTATTCGTAACAAGGATGATTTGCCCTGATATCGTGGGCCCTGCTGGGTTGGGTTAGAATGAAATTGAGGCTAAATATTGTAGCACCAGACACATGAAAGCCACATGCCGGTATGCCATGCCCTTCATATGATGCTATCCTGTGATGGGAGTTCTGCTGCTGGCCTCCATCCATTTCTCATGTCTTTCTTCAAAACTTTCCACTAGGTAACAGTGTGTTTTCAAGGCTGCTTATTTGGCATCCACGCACAGAAAATCCATCTCTACCATGCCCTTCTAAAGGCACACAACACAGCCCAACCCACACATTATTGGATGATCACATTCATCGCATTGTTGGGGGTGAGCATGGGATGCGCAAAGAGCTCTCCTGTGATGGGAGACCTGCTGCTGGTCTCCATCCATTTCTCAATCTCCTTCTTCTCATATGTGTACCCATCTGCTGCCACCACCGGTTCCCTCATGCGCACCTGCACAGAACAAACAAGCCGCATAACGGTAAGTACCGTACCGAGACATAAACATAATACTCACACTCACTCAGACCAAAGAAATGGGCACGTACCACACGGACCGAGGAACACACGGCTGCACATACGTACAAATGAGAAATGACTCGCTCACTCACCTTAGACAGAGGGCAGAGCAGGTGATTGTCGGCCGCATCCTGCCGCCTCTCCACACACCCAGCACTCTCCTCTGCCAGCTGCATCAGCACCTCGTGCACCTCCCTTTCAAGCTCCGGCCGGCTTGCTCGCCTCCTATTGGTGCAGGAGATTGCGATCACTGCCACCTCAGCAGCAGCACCACGGTCCCACTTCCCCCCCGAGTCATCCAACCTCTCTATAATCACGTCCACAGCCCTCTGCAGGCTAGCAGTCAAATGACGTGTCCATCTGCTACTGGTGCTGGTGCCGCTGCTGTTGCTGCTGATGCTGCTGCTGGTTGCTGTGCTGGTGTTGCTGCTGCCAGTGTGATTGCTGCTGGTTGCATTGCTGCTCCACTGCCCCTTCTCCAACACATCATGCGCCATCCGCATCACCTTCACAGTCTGCTTCACCGCCGGGTCCCCCATCAGCATCTGCAGCATCACCACCCCCAACGCATACACATCCCCTAGAACTGACACCTCACACGTAACCAACTCCTCCGGGTCTATATACCCCACCGTTCCCCTCACTCTCGCCGTCACATTCCCTCCTCCGTACCCTCCGTTCTCGTCTCCTCCGTTCCCACAGTCGATCAGGCGAGCCAGGCCGACATCTGCCAGCTTAGCGCGGAGGCTTGTATCGAGGAGGATGTTCTGGGGCTTTAAGTCGCGGTGGGCGATCGGAGGGGAGTGCTGGTGCAGGTAGAGCAGTGCGCCGGAGATCTCGGATAAGATCCGGATCCGATCCGGCCAGGAGAGCGGGCGGCAGAGTGACGACATGGTGCTGGTAGCAGTCGCAGCACTGGCACCAGCAGCACCAGCAGCAGCAGAAGCGGTAGAAACACGAGCAGAAGCGCAGAGGTGGTGTGAGAGGTCGCCTCCAGGCAGGAACTCGTAGACGAGGCAGTTGATGGCGGGGCAGTGGCCCATGAGCAGCACTATGTGCGGGTGGCGCATCCGCGACAGCACGTGCACCTCTGTGCTGTACTCCTCCTCGCCCTGCCACCCGTTTCCTTGGAGTTTCTTTATTGCCACGTCACAGCCCAAGAGGTTGCCCTTGAACACCTGTGGGGAGAGAGAGGAAGAGAGGGAGGGAGGGAGGGAGGGAGGGAGGGAGGGAGGGAGGGAGGGAGGGAGGGAGGGAGGGAGGGAGGGAGGGAGGGAGGGAGGGAGGGAGGGAGGGAGGGAGGGAGGAAGAGAGGGAGCAGAGGGCAGAGGGCAGAGGGGGGTTGAGGTTGACGCATGCGCGAGAGCACGTGCACCTCTGTGCCGTAATCCTCCTCGCCCTGCCACCCATTCCCCTCCAACCGCTTGATTGCCACGTCACAGCCTAACAAACTCCCCTTGAAACACCTGTGGAGGAAAGGTGGGAGGGAGAGGGAAACGGTGCGGGATAGCATTAGCAGCATGGTACTCAAAAGAGCGGTTTGCAAGCAGAGTGTCAAGAAAGGTTCATAGAAAGTTCGGAGAAGCTTCTATGAAGGTTCGTACCTGGCCGAAGGCGCCAGCGCCAAGCAGGTTGGAGGAGTGGAAGCCGTTGGTTGCTGCGATGAGCTGTTCCGGAGAGAACACCCTGCACCCGCCACTAGATGCCACGTTGGACGGTGCCACGTTGGATGGTGCCACGTGGCCTGATGAAATTCCACCGGATGACGCAGTTGCAGCGCTGCCAGGTGGCGATGGCACGAAGGATGCCGCCGCTGCTGCTGCTCCGGCTGCTGAATCAGCATAGCCATGGGACACGTGGCTGACAGGAGGAGAGTGGCGGTGGGCGTTGCGTGTGTGGTACGCCGAATCGCGTGCATGATGATGGGAAGAAGCTTGACCATAGCTGCTGCTCGCAGCGCTGTTATCAACGCTGCTCCCGTTGCTGCACACACCGTATGACTCCTCGTGACCCCACCCCACGCTGCCGCACTCCCAGTTACTCCTCAACATCCCACCGCACTCCCTGTCAACCTTCCCCACGTCTCTCAACCGCACTCCACCACTCTCACCGCCACTCGTCCCGTGCTCCCTGCCCCACATGCCATGTCCCCCCGGCAAGGTGTTGCTTCTCCCCTCATCCCTCCCCCACCCCACGCCCCCGTCGCCACTCCCTCGGCTTGCAGGCCGAACCACACCACTGTTTAACCCACCAGTACCGCTCTCCACGCCTCCGCACTCCCCGTAGCCCCTGCGTACCTCCCTGCCCCAGGTCACGCCGCCATGATCGCCGTTGCCTGTAATGCCCGAGTGCTCCGCTCTGCTACCGAATGTCGGCACTCCAGGTGGCAATTTCGTCTCCAGCAGTTTTGCATCCAGCGCGGCGGATTTCGGCGGACTGAGCTGCTGGTGCGGCGCCTGTCGCGGCGCGTGGTGCGGCGGCTGGTGCGGCGGGTGTGGCGGCTCCGCGTGTCCGGGCGCGTGGAACTTGGGAAACAGCAGCTCCTCCTGCGCTTGCCTCAGCGCGCGCTGCGCCGCACTCGCCGCCGCGTCTTGCTGCTGCTTCCGCTCCTTCTGCTGCTGCTCCCACGTGGAAAACTGCATCATCGCACCCAAACGCTTCTTCATCGCATTTATGTCCGCTTCTGCTGCTGCCGCTGTCGTCGGTGTTGCCGCCGCCGCCGCTGCTGCTACTCCTGTTACAGAAGGGAACGGGGAGGCGGAGGGAGACGGCGGGTGCGGAAGCCGCGGGGGAAACGCGAGGGCGTGGGGGGAGGCGGAAAGCGGGACGTGGTAGCCGCTGTCGGCGGTTCGATCCCCGAGCGACGAGTCCGAGCCGCAATATGGCGTGGCTGTTGATCCAGTCGTTATCTGCCTCATTACTAGTGGCGGTTCCGCAGGTACCACTGCGGCTGCAGCCGCTCCTGTCGCAACGGCAGAGGCGGCGTTTGTTGCGGCGGCAACGCCTCGTTCTTTCCGCGTGCTGCTGCGCGAGAAGAAGTTGTAGTGCCCGCCGCTTCCGCGGGAGTGCCCATCATCCCCGCCGCTTGCGCGGGAGTGTCCGTCGTCCCCGCGGCTTGCGCGGGAGTGCGCGTCATCTCCCTCGCTTCCGCAAGAGTGCCCATCATCCCTGCTGCTGCTGCGCGAAAAAAGGTTGTAACGTCCGCCGCGCTTGCCGCTTCCGCGGGAGTGTCCATCATCGCGCGGCGAGATTATATCGATCGCCTTCGCCCCGTCTTCGTGCGGTTCCGACTGGTGCGCGACTTTGCTTCCCTGCGTATGAGGAGGAGAGGATACTGTGAGTAAATCACGCGTCGAAGGACGATGCAAACACGTCCTAGAACATCATTTTGAGACGACTCAAACGGCAGTTGAGGCCGCTAGAACCTGACCCCTGCTTTTCCAGTCCGCGCCTCATGAATGGTTTCAACAGTACCGAAGCTTACCCCCAAGTACCGAAGAGAGAAGTTGCCGTACTTCGGTCGAACATCCTCCGTCAGCTTCGCCGTTTGCGCCAACGCCGGCGGCGTCGGCGGCGCGGCGCAGGAAGTCCGTCGAGCCGCCTCTGACGTCTCCAACTGTGGCGCGAGAGCGGCGCCGCCGGCGCACTCCTCCGTCCAATCCAGAAACTCCTTTTCCCAGCTGGACTCGCCCGGACCGTCCGATTCGTTGGACGCGAAGCTTCTGTCTCTCTCAACCGCTGCCGGCGGCAGTGGCGCTACGCGCGCGCCGCCCTCTGCGTGCCACAGGTAATCCAATGTTGTTTCTTCGAAGCTTCTGCGGCGGCTGGAGTTATCACGGCTGAGGGGCAAGAAGCAGCTGACGTCATCGTGCGATGCGGGTCTGCCAGACACTGCGGGTTTTTCCGGTACAAGCGGTTCGGTCGTTACTGCTTGAAGCGCTTGGTCGCCGCTTCCCGTTTCGAGGATGGTTTCGCCGCCGCCGAGGCGCGCAACGGCGGCGCATGCATCGGCTGCGCCACGCGCCGCGCGCCTGCCGCAGTGCTGCCGGGGGAAGTCGCGGGGACCTGCCGCTGCAGACCCGCGGGGCATATCGGGGGAAGATTGCCAGTGGGGGGGATGAGGCGGAAGAGGGCAGTGCCGGGGGGACACAATCGGCGGAACGTCGCCGAAGGTGCTGCCGGCGGTTGGATGCTGGGATCCGCGACTTACCGACGGGTAACCAGTTTCGCCGGCCTGCATCGCCACGTCGTACACGCGTGGCGAATGCGGCGGCGTCCAGCAAATGGGGACTTGAAAAAGCAAATCATCGGATTTGCCGTGATGATGAATCGAGCGACATTGTGAGTAGTGATCCATGGCGTTCATCGTCTGATGAATCTTCTTCGCAAGTAATGACAATGTCCGGCAACTATAATCCGCTGAAAGTTCTGTCTGCAAGGGTCACACTTTCTCAATGTTTTGCAGTCAGGAAGGACATTGTGTGGAGAATTTTCCTAGGCCAAATGGTGGTGTATGAACGGCGGTGGTGATGTGACTCGTCGTGACGCCACCAGAGAAACGAATTCCGTTTACCGAACAAGTTGAGGTGCAGCAGAGGCAGACCACTGAGGGCCTAAGGTCACGGTTCTGGGCGAAGTTTGCCCGCCATCAGCCCAAAATGGCCCTCACTGACGTGTAAAAACATCCGATCATTGGTCATCACACAATTTCCAGATATCTTGGAGCATGGAAGCCAATCAGACGTGCACTTTCGTCTACACTTGTCCCTACTTCGGATGGCGGGCGAACTTCAGAACCGTGATCTAAGTTAGGTAGCAGGCAAAATGGCGCGGAAAGGACGACAAGTAGAGCAGGACCAGAGTCCTACCTGGTACTGTGAACGACTCGAGCCATTCCATGTTGGAGGAAGCAATAGCAACTGATTAGCGGGGGAATATGCCATCGTATTGGTGTAAGTTTGCATTTCATGGTTTTACTGTCTGGGATTGTAAACGCCGGTATTATAAACAGAATTGCGCATTCTGTGGGTGTATACGTGGACAGTCAGTTTCGTTTTGCTGAGTCAAACCTGACTTGTACGGTGTACAGTTTGGTTGGAACGCGAAGTTACCAGCCAGGATTTCCGGATGAACTGTTCATTACAATTCAGGCAATAATGTTGACCATCTCGGCAATGCTGGTTACCATGGTGGCGATGAGAAGACATCTCTGTTACGATTTGGAAACGTGGCTCATCTCGCGTGCGTTCGAGCTCCATGAGTGTTACCGCTAAGATAAATGCCCTTTGGGAAAAGAAACCAAGAGAATCCACCTGGAGGACAGCATCACGAGCCGCGTTTAGTCATCAGTCCTGCAAAAATATCCTGAAACGAATCTTTCGATTCGGTTGAGTTGCAACTTGATGTGTAATATATTGCACTGCTAGCGTCGTCTAGCGAAATGGTAGCGCTACCGAGCGCTACCGACGCAACCGAGTGAAATGTATTGGTGGAATTCCGCCCAGACTGCATGCGTTGTTGCGTGATTGGGTGTATTTTCAATTGCTCCTTGAGCCAACAAGGCGAAGGCTCAGCAGCAATACTTTGAAACACTAAAATGTACCAATCAGTGGAGACGATCGAAATGTTCTGACACCTGCCCGTTACAGCTGTTTGGCATTTAAACAGCTGACACTGCAAGTTCGGGATGACTACTAGTAGTCATCCCGAACTTGCAGTGCAACCAGCCCAACTTGCAAGTGGGCCATGAAATCTCCCGCAAGGTCCTCCTCAACATAAGGATGAGTGGTTAGGAACCTAGGTCCCTCTTTTTGTATGTTAGTTAGTGGTAACATGAGAAAATTAGGAACTAGATGACCCCGTGTGATCTCAGCCTCACCAGGTTTGTTCATTGTTGCATGATAAAATACAATCACAAGGGTTTCTGTACAGTTCCGCTGTATATTATATAGACAAGTCAACAGTATGGTTACTTACGCTAGTCAAACCTTGCCTGCACCCCATTTATACACACATATTTCGTGTAACGAATATATTGAAACACTTATTCAAGCACTATAATCCTCCACTCCCACTGCCCGCTCCAAGCTGCTCCGCCTTTTTCAACTCCATCGTCAGGCTTCCCAGACTATTCGAATCGTCAATCTCCCTATCGATGCTCGAAACCACCTTGTCGGTCTCCGGTCCGAAGAACGCCTCTTTCATATCCATAAGCTCTGCGAGAACTCGCGCCATGGACGGCCGCGACGCGACGGGCACCTTGGTGCAGTCGATGGCGAGGCGTGCGAGGCGCAGCACGAGATCGTCGGGCGCTTCCAGGCGCGGGTCCCGGAAGGCCGGGGCGTTGCAGGCGTCGACGAGCGGAGCAACCTGTTGGAATGGGGGAGGTGGCAGGGGAGGTGGCAGGGGAGGAAACAAGGAGGGAGTTTCAGTGAGGGGGAGTGGGGATGTGTAGGAGGGTAGTGTTGTGTGCATTCAAGCGCGGGTCCGGGAAGGGCGCTGCGTTGTGACGCACCATGGGACATAAGTCCCATGCAAGGAGCGACAAAAGGAGGGAGGGTGGTACGTGGTGGGGGGAGGAAAAGCAGGAGGGCAAATGTAGGTGATGGGGGGAGAAGGGAAGGGGGAGAGGAAGGACTTACCCAGTCCTTGATGTTGACGTGCTTGTCCCCCACTTCATAGATTAGAAGGGAGGAACAAGGCGGCGTGTTAGCAGGTGAACAGAGAACGAGCAGAAGAGTAGGAGGGTAGAGAGAGAGAGCTTGCTGCGTCCTTGCTGTTGACGTGCTTGTCCCCGGCGTTCCATGCATGAGAGGAAAGGAGAGGAAGAACGAGAAGTGGTAGCAGATGGGGAGAGAGAAAGGAGTGAAGGGAGGACTTACCCACTCCTTTATGTTGACCTGCTTGTCCCCCACTTCGTAGATCGCCCGGCGAGCCGTGATGACTGTGAGCAGGACCACGCCAAAGCTGCGGTCATGGGCAGGGAGAGGGGGAACGCAGGGAAGTTAGATAAATGGAGAGGAGAGGAGGGGAGGGGAGGGAAGAGAGAGGGGAAGAGCAGGGGGAAGTCTGAGGGTGCCTTGGAGTGGAGAGGAGAGGAGGGGAGAGGAGAGGAGAGGAGAGAAGAGGAGAGAAGAGGAGAGGAGAGGAGGGAAGAGGAGAGGAGAGGAGAGGAGAGAAGAGGAGAGGAGAGGAGAGGAGAGGAGAGGAGGGAAGAGAAGCACCGTGCTTTGATCTAAGCACCGTGCGGTCAGAGGAGGGAAGAGAAGCAGTACAGTGCTTTGCCCTTTGAGCTGTAAATGCTGTGACCAGTCAGATCAAAGCACCGTACTGCCCTCCTCTGTCTGTACCTACCTGTGCACGTCTGTGGCAACACGAGTGGCCTTCTGCGACTTGTATTAAGCAGCAGGGCCCACATAGCCTGGTGTGCACATCGCTCTAGCAAACTTAATTTTAGGCCAATACCGGCTGGCACCACTCTGAACTGCTTTGCACCACTCTGTGCCGCTCTTTACCGCTCTGTACCTGTGCACGTCGGCAGCAGGAGTGGCCTTCTGTGACTTGTAGTAAGCAGGGTCCACATAGCCCGGTGTGCCCATCACTCGTGTCAACTCACTTACAGACCATAGGCCAGGTGGCACCGCTCTGCACCTCTCTGTACCTGTGCACGTCGGCAGCAGGAGTGGCCTTCTGTGACTTGTAGTAAGCAGGGTCCACATAGCCTGGTGTGCCCATCACTCGTGTCAACTCACTTACAGACCATAGGCCAGGTGGCACCGCTCTGTACCGTTTTGTACCTGTGAACATCGGCAGCAGGAGTGGCCTTCTGCGACTTGTAGTAAGCGGGGTCCACATAGCCCGGTGTGCCCATCACTCGTGTCGACGCCATTGTAGCCGATGTCCCTTCTCCCAGCCGCACCAACCCGAAATCAGCCACCTTGGCCTGCAATGGGTGAAGGGAGAGGTGAGGGGTTACAAGGTTGAAGTGTGAGTGGGGGCTCGTGCAGAAAGGATTGACCTAAGAGGTGTCCACATAGCCCGGTGTGCCCATCACTCGTGTCGACGCCATTGTAGCCGATGTCCCTTCTCCCAGCCGCACCAACCCGAAATCAGCCACCTTGGCCTGCAATGGGTGAAGGGAGAAGGGTGCGGGGAGAGGGTTCATTATCTTAATTTGGAAAGCGGGTCGCTGCGGTAAAGGGGTAGGTGAACCATTCGTGCAGAGGCTACGAGGTGACTTTTGAGTCGACTCAAAAGTCAAAGGGGTAGGTGAACCATTCGTGCAGAGGCTAGTAATTTACCAAAGAATCGCTTTACAGAACTCTCTGTTCCCCTTCGCATCCACCTCTACCGCCTCCCATCCACAGCTGCTAGCTCACATTCGTCTTGGAGTCAAGGAGAATGTTAGCGGGCTTGATGTCGCGATGCACGATGCGACAGCGGTGCACGTCGCTGTGCCACGTTGAATCTGTTTTTCGAGAATTCTCAAAAAGCAGGTACTGCAGGCCCTTTCTCCCTCCTCTACCGCCTCACATCCACCTGAATCCCTGTACCCTCCCCTCCCACTATCTGCCAGCTTACATTCATCTTCCTGCAAGCCCTCCCATCCCCCTCTATCTACTGCCCCACATCCACCTGAATCCCCCTCCCCTCCCATGCACCTCCCTGCCCCCTCCCATGCACCTCGCTGCACTCCCTCCCATGCACCTCGCTGCACTCCCTCCCACTAACATTCATCTATCAGTGTCAGCTCACATTCATCTTGGAGTCAAGGAGTATGTTGGCGGGCTTGATGTTGCGATGCACGATGCCAAAGCTGTGAAGGTAGGTAGGTACTGCACCCCCTCCCATCCACCTCTATCAACTGGCTCACATTCTAATCGGAGTCCCTGCACCCCCTCCCATGCATCTCTACTGCCCCACACTCATCCACCTCTATATCGGCTCACATTCATCTTGGAGTCAAGGAGAATGTTAGCGGGCTTGATGTCGCGATGCACGATGCCAAAGCTGTGAAGGTACTGCAGGCCCTCCGCCACCCCTATCATCACCTGGACCCTCTCCTTCGCCGTGAGCGGCCTCGGTGTGTCTGCGAGGGGACAGGAGGAGGGCGAGGGATGGGTGGGGAAGAGGAAGGCGCGGAAACGGGTGCATTCAGGGAAAGCTGTGCAGGTACTGCTGCCCCTCCGCCACGCCTATCATCACCTGGACCCTCTCCTTCGCTGTCAGCGGCCTTGGCGTGTCTGCGTCAAGGGGAACAAAGGAGTACGGTGCACACACACAGAGGTATAGATGCATCAGGCGGTATGGGGCAAGCTGTGAAGGTACTGAAGCCCCTCCGCCACGCCTATCATCACCTGCACGCGCTCCTTGGCAGTTAGCGGGCGTGGTGTGTCTGTGGTAAGACAGGATGGCGGCAAGGGATGGGTGGGGAGGAAGAAGGCGCGGGGATGGGTGGGGAGGAAGAAGGCGCGGGGATGGGTGGGGAGGAAGAAGGCGCGGGGATGGGTGGGGAGGAAGAAGGCGCGGGGATGGGTGGGGAGGAAGAAGGCGCGGGGATGGGTGGGGAGGAAGAAGGCGCGGGGATGGGTGGGGAGGAAGAAGGCGCGGGGATGGGTGGGGAGGAAGAAGGCGCGGGGATGGGTGGGGAGGAAGAAGGCGCGGGGATGGGTGCATTCAGGGAAAGTTGTGAGTACTGCAATCCTCGCCGATCATCACCTGCACCCTCTCCTTTGCCGAGAGTGGGCGAGGTGTGTCTGCGTCAACGGGAACACGGCAGGAAAGTGCCCACAGATAGATATTGATTCATCATGCGGTGTGCAGCAAGCTGTGAAGGTACTTCTGCCGGCCCTCCGCCACGCCTACCATCACCTGGACTGGACCCTCTCTTTTGTTGTGAGTGGGCGAGGTGTGTCTGAAGGAATTGAGGAGAGGAGGGGAATCGGGGCGTATTGGGGCAGGGTAAGGAAGAGTGGGAGTGCACAGGTGTGTGACATGTCTTCATGAGGCATGCCACCCTTAGGTCGACAGTTTCTCACACCACCCCACCCCACCCCACCCCACCCCACCCTGCTCCGCCCCACCGCACCCCACCCCACCCCACCCCACCCCACCCAGCTCGTTCTCACCTTGGCTCAGCCACTTCTCCAAGTCGCAATTATCCACACACTCGTACACCAGAATCTGCTCCATGTTCTGAGTGCGGGGGTTGAAGTCAGTGACGATCTGCCGCAACCATCTCACCCCACCGCATCCCACCCCACCCAACCTCACACAATCCCATCCCACCCAACTCACTCTCACCTTGGCTGAGCCACTTCTCGAGGTCACAATTATCCACAAATTCGTAGACCAGAATCTGCTCCATGTTCTGAGTTCTGGGGTTGAAATCGATGCAGTATCCCAGCAGTCGCACCAACGCTGGGTGGTGCTTTGATGCCATCTCCTTCACCTGGTGAGAGATACAGGGGAGGGGAAAGGTGGGCGAACGGGAAGGGAGGATGGTGCTTACGAGCCGTCTTTGTGCTAGAGACTTTCAGTCTATGCAGTATCCCAGCATACGCACCAACGCTGGGTGGTGCTTCGATGCCATCTCCTTCACCTGGTGAGAGATACAGGGGAGGGAAAAGGTGGGCGAAAGGGAAGGGAGGATGGTGCTTACGAGCCTTCTTTGTGCTAGAGACTTTCAGTCTATTCAGTATCCCAGCAGCCGCACCAACGCCGGATGGTGCTTCGATGCCATCTCCTTCACCTGGTGGGAGGGAGAGGGAGGGAGAGGGGGGAGCGTGGGATGGGTGGAGGGAATGGGAAAGGGATGGGAGGAGAATCAAGGGAAGGTAGACCAGAGGGTTGAAAGCTATGCAGTATCCCAGCAGCCACACCAACGCCGGGTGGTGCTTCGATGCCATCTGCTTCACCTGGTGGGAGGGAGAGGGGTGGGCAGGGAGGAAGGGAACGGTAGGGGGAGAAGCAGAATGGGGAAGGGAGGAGTGGTGGGTTGGTTTGTATGCAGCACCCAGCAGTCACGAGTCGATTTTTGAGGCGCCTCAAAAAGCGGTGAGTTGGTTTGTACGCTGCAGCCCAGCAGTCACGAGTCGACTCGCTCACAAATCAAGTAGGAGACAAAAAATGCAGTACCCCAAAAATCGAATCAGTGCCGGATAGCGCTTCAAAACGAATATCCCCCTTATAAGCCCACTCACTCCCGCTGGAAGTCTTGAGTGAATATCCTCGACCGCTTAACAGCCCAGGTCTCCTCTGGGTTATATGAGTAGAGTATAACCCCCATCCCCTATAGAAGCTGACTCACCTCCCGCTGGAAGTCCTGGGTAATTATCCTCGACCGCTTAACCGCCCAGGTCTCCTCTGGGTTATACGGGTTGAACCCCCGATACACATCCCCAAAGCTGCCGCTGCCAATCCGCCTGTTCTCCGCCCAGCTGCACGTAGCCTGCTCCATCTCTGGGAGTGAATACTCCCGGAATACCTGCAAGGAAGGAAATATGAGGTTCAGGGGGAGGATAGAAGAGAAGGGATAATAAGGCTGTTCTCTGCCCAGCTGCACGTAGCCTGGTCCATCTCTGCTAGTGACACTCCCGGAACACCTGTGAAAGGGCAGTGAGAGGAAGGGATGAGAAGGAAAGGCTTAGCCAATCCGCCTGTTCTCGGCCCAGCTGCAAGTTGCATGCTCCTCTGCTAAAGAGTATTCACGGAATAACCACAAGGCAAGGGAATGTGAGGGGCAGGGGAGGAAAGGAGAGAAGCGAACTGCAAGTTCCATGCTTGGATGCCATGCTTAGCCATCTGCCTGTTCTTAGCCCAACTGCAAGTTCCATGCTCCATCACTTCTAGAGAGTAATCCCTGAATACCTGCAAGGCAAGGGAATGTGAGGGGCAGGGCAAGGGGCAGGGTAAGGGGAAGAGGGAGGCAGCGAAAAGAAAAATGGGGAGGCGGATGGGGTTATGCGGGTGGAACCCACGCCACGATGCACAGGTCTCCGAAGCTGCTTTTATTTAGGCGCCTAAAGTATGGGTTGAATCCCCGATACGCGTGTCCGAAGCTGACGTTTGAGACGTCTCGAAAGTTGAACCCCCGATACACGTCTTCGAAGCTGCTGATGCCAATCCGCCTGTTGTCTACCCAGCTGCAAGTAGCATGCCCCGTCTCTGCTGGTGCTCACCTGAAAATGCACCTGAAGCACCTGAAACTCACCTGAAGCCCCTGAAGCACCTGAAAACGCACCTAAACCACCTGAAAACGCACCTGAAGCGCCTGAAAACGCACCTGAAGCACCTGAAAACGCACCTGAAGCAGCGCCTGTTTCGCAACAGACCCGGCCGAGCTGCCCTGACTTGCCTGCCCCGCCACCCTTCCCCCCATGTGCCCTGAGCCCATCCCCCCGCCTCCCCCCATTGCGCCCATCCCCCCCGCTGCCCCCGCTCCCCCCATGGCGCCTGCAGACCAAGGAGGGGCGTTCGGACCTGATGCCATCTGTCCTCCTCCCCCCATCATCTGCCCCCCTCCGCCCATCTGTCCGCCCCCCATCCCCCCCATCGCGCCCATTCCCCCTGCCATTGCGCCCATGGCTGCTCCCCCCGCCATAGCAGCTCCCCCCATGCCCTGGGGCGGTGGGGGGCCTCCCGGGTAGGGAATCATGGGGGGAGGTGCGCCTGGGGGGAATGGGGGAAGGGGAAGGGGAGAGGGAGAGGGGAAGGGGAGGGGGGAAGAGGAAAACTTGGAAGGGAGAAGGTCTGTATGCATGTTGTGACTGTATGCAACATGGCTAAACCATTCCCTCGCACCCTTGTATACAACTGGCAGGGGTGGCGGCGCAGCGCGCACGTGGCGAATCACAGTCTTGAGAGGCTTGCACACCACGAGCCCAATCGCAATGGCTACCAGCAGCAGCACAATCCCCTCCCCCCCACTCCCCCCCACTCCCCCACAAACGCCCCCTGGAGAACGGCAGCTGCGAATACGAGTGCAACCCGCGCACCTTTGTATACAATCGGAAGCGGCGGTGGTGCTGCCCTTCCCGCACGTGTCTGATCACGGTCCTGCGAGGCTTGCACACTGCGAGCGAGCCCAATCGCAATGGCTACCAGCAGCAGCACAATTGACACTAGTGGAAGAGAGAACCAACAACCCACGCATATCTCACCTTTGTACACAACTGGCAGGGGTGGTGGTGCTGCGCGCACATGGCGAATCACCGTCTTGCGAGGCTTGCACACCGCAAGCCCGATAGCAACGGCTACCAGCAGCAGCACAATGGCTCCCCCTGCTGCAATTCCGATGATTGCGGGCATGGGGAGGTTGAAACTCGAAGAATCGCCACTGCTGCCGCTGCTACCGGAATTTGCGGCGGCATTAGCGCTAGCCGAATTTGTGTTGTTGTTGTCGTTGATAGTGGTGGTGGTGGTGGTGGTGGTGTTGCAGTTGCTTCCAGAGCACGTTTGCACGCCTGATTTGGGGTGGTGTGAGACAAACGAAAGTGAAAACAGAAGTTCTGTATTTGCTGTGGCATTGGTGTTAGCAGAGTTGTTGTTGGTGGTGGTGGTGTTGATGTTGGTGGTGATGGTGTAGTGGTGGTGTTGCATTTGCTTGCTTCCAGAGCATGTTTGCACGCCAGATGCGAGGAGGGAGGGGGGAAGGTGGGTACCGACATTGTTAAGAGAAATACGATATATTATATAAAATTGCGAATGGGCATCCGCCCTCGATGTTTCCCCGCAAGCTTTTCGTTGCGTCCTCGCAACTTTGGGAGTCACCTTTTCGCAGATATCTGCCCTTGTAAATACAACTGGTAGTTGGAAAACGGTTAGAAATTAGGAAGAAAAAATAAGAGGACGAGATATCCTATCCATTATAATTGAGTCGAACGCGAAAGAGGGAACTGGAACGCGACGGAGAGGTGAAAATGAACATATCCATTCACTGAATCGGACGCGAAGGAGGGTTTCGCACTGCACACGAGAAAGTTTTGATTTAATATCGAGGACTCTACAGTGGTCACAGCAATAAACGTACGACGAGACAATGTTCGAGTCCAACGTTAAAGAGAAAAATACTGCAAAAGCTAGAAGAGATTCAAGTAAGAGGAGGAAGAGGTACATCTTTGTAAACGTACGAAAGTAACTAGACGCTTTCTGCGTGGTAATCGTTGAGACTAACATCTCGATAAAAGACATTAGTCTGAAGATAACAGAAAGCAGAAAGAGAGAAAGAAGTTGGAAAACTAATTTCCATTGCGAATGAAAACATGACTAACTCTGGGAGGTAACAGTTGTCGGGTGCAGTAGTAGTAGTATCCACGCCAGCAGTCCGAAAAGAAACATCACGTTCGTCCTTCGTCGAGCCATTTTGTTTGAAATGGCTGGTTTCGAGCAAGCGGTTGAAGAGAACAAAAACGACAAGAAGCTCCAAAAATGCCTTCCCTAGTAGGCAGACTTTGCAGTTACAGCTGAACAAGGTACCAAATACTAACTCGCTCCTGGAACGGCGAACAACAAAAATATATGCACAGCGATACTGGAATGAGATGGACCCGGAAAAAGAAAGTGATGAACAGAAAAGATTCAGGAGTAACGAATGTAGGAGAGGAAGAAGGGTAGGAAAGGGATGGGATGGGTGGGAGGAAGGAGGGAAGAGGAAGACAGGGGAGCGGCTCGGGAATCGGGAGGGAGGCGGAATTGTATGCCAGCGAGGCAACGCACCGCCTCCTGAAGATGCAGGTTGGAGCGATAACAGCCAATCATATGGGAGGGACTGGGCATTGACAGCGTTGACTACCACGCGCGTGGGCTTCCCCTTACGTCGGCGCAACGAATGCTTGCGTTTCTGCGCGGCCTCTGCTGAAGAGACGTGCGCGGAAGTCACGACCGAAGAGAAAGGACTCGACTCAACCAAGAAGCCTCCCTCGTCACTGACCTCTCCGAAGGGGCGGTTTTCCGGGCATAAGAAACGCTGGGTACGTCTAGTCAGCGAAGAAAAAACATATATCCAGGTTCAGGCAACAGTGTTTTCCGATGTAGTGTTTCTTATAGAAATCTAAGCCCGATAAATTTCTGTGTACAGGCCCTTTCCACATCAACAGACAGATAATCCTTCTGAAGTCCAAGCATTTCCTGCAAGATGTCAGAAGGTATTGACTATCTCTATACACAACTGCATTGGTGCATCACATGCTATATTCTTCAAGTCTTTGGCGAAACTGTTATCCCATATGCACACATACATCACATCACCCTCTTTGCACTAGAAGATGCTCAGGACTGCGCACATTCGAAGCCGGCATTCTCATGCATCTGCAGGCGCTGCAGAAGCTCCATGGGCCTGTACGAAGTCAACCATACGTGGTGCAACGCAAGAGGCCAAAATGCAATGAATTACATACCATGTCAACTTATGGAGTTCATAGGGAATGCCCTCTTTCCGAAAGGAGAATGTATGTTGTAAGAGCGAGGTGGAAGAAAGGGAGCACTCATGCAAAAGACTCCCGAGGTTGCTGCTGCATGCGCTGTTGGTTCTCCACCATCACCCGAATCATGCATCGTGCGTGCGAGATAAATGGTGCGACTGGCTGTGAGAGAGTGAGAGCGACTGAGAGTGGGTGAGAGCGAGAGTGTGAGGAGGAAAAGGAGGGAACACTCACGCAAAGAACTCGCGAGGTCGGCGCATGCGCTGCTGGTTCTCCACCATCACTCGAATCATGTCAGCCGGTTCAGGCCCCCCCACTCCTGCTGCCACCCTTGATGCCGCTGGCGCATGGGGCGTCCACAGCTGATGGGTGAGGGGGGTTGCGAGGGAGTGGGGTAGTTTGGGAGAAATAGATAGGATGAATGGGGTGACATATATACCGTACTGAGGGAGTTTGACCAGATGCATTCAGCTCAAACGCTGCCACCCTTGATGCCAATGGTGCGTGGGGCGTCCACAGCTAATGGGGGGGGGGGGGGGGTGAGATAAGGAAACAAGAGGCATGGGTATGAGGCTGATGGGAGGCAGCAGGCAGGCGCATGCGCTGCTGGTTCTCCACCATCACTCGGATCATGTCGGCTGACTTAGGGCCCCCCACCCCTGCTGCCACCCTTGATGCCGATGGCGCATGGGGCGTCCACAGATGACGGGAGAGGGGGGGTAGATGAAAGGCACGAGGACGGAAAGAGTGCGATAAGAGGCAGCAGGAAGGCAGGTGTGCGTGCTGTCAGCAAGTCTAGGCTCAGACCCTACCGACCCTACCAGCTCTGCCAGAAATGCGAGGAGAGGGATGCGAGGAGAGGGATGTGAAGAGGGGGATGTGGGGAGAGGGATGTGGGAAGAGAGCGAGGAGAGGGATGTGGGAAGAGGAATGCGAGGAGAGGGATGTGGGAAGAGGGATGTGGGAAGAGGGATGTGGGAAGAGGGATGTGGGAAGAGGGTTTCGAGGAAATATGCAAGGAACGGGATGCAAGGAGAAGCGCCCAGCATTGGCAAGCTCTCGTGCTGTCAATGCGTGCCTCACCTTAATGGTGTCGTCAATGCCACTGGTGGCCACACAGCAGTCGATGGGGTGACACTGAATGCAGTTCACCACTGAAAAGGCGGTTGGGAGGGAGCAAAGGGGAGAGTGAACAGAGCAAATGCATAAACGGAAAAGCGGGAGTATGGAGAGTTAGACAAGAAAATCAGGGTGATGATCATGCACTTTCATGGACATTCATGCCATGCCATAGACATGTCATGACATACCCATCCATGCCTTAGCACATTCATGCACCATCACGCCTGTGTGTCACGCCATATACCATGCCCATTATTCACCCCAACCACTCACCATCTCTCACCATCTCTCACCCCACCCACTCACCATCTCTCACCCCACCCACTCACCATCTCTCACCCCACCCACTCACCATCTCTCACCCCACCCACTCACCATCTCTCACCCCACCCACTCACCATCTCTCACCCCACCCACTCACCATCTCTCACCCCACCCACTCACCATCTCTCACCCCACCCACTCACCATCTCTCACCCCACCCACTCACCATCTCTCACCCCACCCACTCATCATCTCTCACCCCACCCACTCACCATCTCTCACCCCACCCACTCACCATCTCTCACCCCACCCACTCACCATGTCTCACCCCACCCACTCACCATGCTCGTCCCCTGCAAGCATCTTCACCACCCGGCCAGTCCGCTTCTCCCACACAAACCACCGCCCATCATCGCTCCCACTCGTCACAAACTCCCCCCGGTCGCCTAGAAACGACGCCTGCTTGATATCCGTCCCTGTGTTGCAGTGCCCCACAAACCGCTGTCGCATATCCACTGCCCTCACTCCCCGTTTCACCTGTCCCTCCCCCCCCTCCTCCCCGTCCTCCCCCTCCTCCTCCCCCTCTTCCTCCTCCTCGCCCTCTTCCCGCGCACCCACACTCCCTCCCCCCATTCTCCTCGTCTCTCCACCCGCCCCTCTAGCACTCTTCTCCCGTCGCACCCCCTCCTCCTCTCGGTCCTCCTCCCCCTCCCTGCTCCTCCTTAGTCTAAGATTCAGACTCACCCTCCTTGCTCCCCCACTCGCTTCTCCTCCTGCCGCCCCTTGTCCACTCCCCTCTCCTCCCCCCTCTCCTCCTCCTGCCACAGTCTCATCTCCTGTGTCTTCTTCTCTCTCCTCTGCTTCAACGCCAGGACCTAGTCTCACGTCCACACGAACCTCAAAATCCTCCTCCTCTTCCTCCTCATTTTCCTCCTCTTCACCCTCCCCACCCTCTGCCGCTAATTCCTCCTCTTCCTTCCCAGCCTCTTCCCTCCTTGCCTCTAATCCCTCATCATCCACCCCTTCCACAGGCCCCTCCAATATGCTGCCCACTCCCCCCTCCCCTGCCTCCCCTGCCCCCGCTCCCCTTACCCCAACTGCCCCTGCTCCCTCCGCCCCCACTCCCTCTCTCCCCACTCGTTCCTCCTCCACCACTGCAGCTGGAGCCTCCTCCCCAGTCAAAGCGGAACCTTCATTCTCAACAAGTAAGTGCCCTCGCCGTCGCGAGCGCGACCTAAGTAAGTCACTTAGCGAGCGAATGCTGATGCGCCTGTGTGGATTGCTGTGGGTGCTGCTGCCACTGCCAGCAGCAGCACCACCACTTGTAACACCACTACCACCGGCAGCAGTAGCAGCAGCAGCACCTGTAGCAGCAGCACCACCAGGAGCAGCAGAAGCACCAGCAGCACCAGGACCAGCCTCCACCCGCCTGCCTGCCCCCACACTTTCTGCATTTCCCCCTGCCCCTGCCCCTGCCCCTCTCCCAGCCTCTGTACCTGCCCCTGCCCCTGCCCCTGGCCCTGGCCCTGGCCCTGCCCCTGCCTCTCCCCTTGCTTCAGTAGCTGCGCCTGTCCCTGTCACAGTCTCTGTATCTGAACCACCAGTGGTAGCAGCATCAGCAGTAGCACCAGCAGCTGTGGCAGCAGCTGTAGCAGCAGAGGGACTGCCCCCGCTGCTGCTGGTGCCGCTGCTGGTGCTGCTGCTCCCCGCCCACCCCCCTCCCCCCGTGTGCGGCTGCCCCCATGCGCTCAGGCGATTCTGCCGCCCTTCCTCTGTGGGAAAAGATGCGGGGAGGGGGAACCGGGAAGGGGAGGAAGGACGAGGAAAGGTGGAAGGGTGAAAAGGGCAGGGGGAAGACATGAAGGGAGGGAAAACTTCATAACGAAAATGGTGAGTGAAAACAAATTTACGGGAGTGATGATGGAAACACGAGACGAAAACTGGGCAGTCTCAGAAACAGGGGGGCTTTGAGGCGTCTTGAGATTTACTTGCAGCAGCCATCTTGGCTCGTAGGGACATGAGATAGGAGGAGAGGTCAGGTGGAACAGTGAGGTGCAGTGAGGTGGAATAAGGTGCAGTGAGGTTGTAAAACACTGATCACCTGCAGCAGCCATCTTGGCTCGTAGGGACATGACATATGAGGAGAGGTTGCTGTCGAACATGGCTGCTCGCTCTGCAAACTCCACCGCCTCCTGATGCTGGCCCAGCTGGTGTATTGAATGGAAAAGGAGGAGGAAAGGGTGGGGAAAGACGGGAGAAGCCGGGGGAGGGGAGGGGATGGGGGATATGGGGCTTGAAGGTTGTGTTGTCGTCGCCATAAACGAGGGTCCACCAGCAACAGGCCTCAATGCAATGCAACGTTTGCTCGACCGGTTAAAGAAAGGAAAGGGATGGTGAAGAACGTAGGGGCGGTACCAGCAACAAGAAACACCAGTCAACACAAGTCAACACCAGTCAACACAAGTCAATTCAGGTCAATATAGGTACACGGGGGTCAGGCTACCTGGGAGAAGGCATGGGCCATGTAGAGATGGGCGCGGATGGACGTGGAGAGAATCTGCCTGGCTTCATTACAGTCACGCAGCACCATCAAATCGTCGTTCTTCCAACCCCTCTGTAACATCTCAGCAGAACAGATTGAAAGGGCGGTTTATTTCATGATTCAAACAGCTCTTTTTACAGGAATGGTGATTATTCTTGAGCCGACATAAGCAATCGTGAGACGAGAGGTAGGAAGGGTTCTTGAGGCAAGTGGAATATCAGCTCACCAACAACAAACTTAGCTCCAGCTGCCTCAGTTCTTGACGACTCACCTCCAGCATTGCAGCGGCTCTGGTGTAGAGTGCATCATGCCTCACACCCGGACCAATCACATCGCCCCCCTCCTCCAACACCGCACTACACAGGTCAATTGCCAGGCTGGTTCCGAGTCGACTCAGAACTCAACTCACCGACAGACTCACCTCCAGCATCGCAGCAGCCCTGGTGCAAAGTGCATCGTGCCTCATCCCCGGACCGATCACATCACCTCCCTCCTCCAGCACCGCACTGCACAGGTCTATCGCCAGGCTGGCCCTTTGCCCCTAAACCAAACTCAGCGATACAACGCATAAGTACTCACCTCCAGCATCGCAGCAGCCCTGGTGCAAAGCGCATCGTGCCGCACACCTGGACCAATCACATCGACCCCCTCCTCCAGCACCGCACTGCACAGGTCTATCGCCACGCTGGCCCGCCGCCCAGACGCCACCTGCTGAGCCCGCGTGCTCTCCCTAGACGCCCTCCTGCCGGCCCCACCTGACACAGCACCTGAAGCGGCACCTGGGGCGGCACCTGGGGCGGCACCTGACACCCCTCTCTGCCCCTCTGCCCCCTCGCCTGCCGGCCGGGCTGCTTCTGATTCTGCCTCTAGGCCGAGAACTATCGCAGAAGCTTCCTCAAGCAGCTGCTCGCACTCTTGCAGCTGGAGAAGGGAGGGCGGGAAGGGAGCAGGGAAGGGAGGAGAGGAAGAGAGGAGGGGAAGGGAAGGGGGGGAAACAGGCGCGGAAGACACGAGAAGAGAGGAGAGGTTGAAGAGCGAGAGGGAGGAAAATGGAAGAGAGAAGGAAAAGGGGAAGCCAGAGATATGGTCAGTCAGTCTACTGTAACATGAGGCTGTAACATGACGCTGTAAAATGAAAAAATAAACTGCAACAAGGTTGAAAGGAGCGGAGGGCCATGGGGTGGAAAGGACGATGGGCCATGAGGGGGGAAGGGGGGAGAGGGGAGAGGGGAGAGGGGAGAGGGGAGAGGGGAGAGGGGAGAGGGGAGAGAAGCGGTTTATCTGTAAGCAATTGGGTGGGCTAAGGGATGGATGAAAACCCACCAACCTTGGTATATTCCCGGTCCCTTGGTCCCAAGCCTGGGCCCACGGCTCGGTCCCGAAACACTCCTGCCCGAGGCAGCTCGGTCCGTCCATTGGTGTACCTATCCCACACACTGCTGTTGCTGGCGCTGCCGAACCTGTCATTCTGCTTCGGAAGAGCGCCGTTCTTATCTTTCTCCCCGAGGCTTGCAGGCTGGGAGGGCTTAGCTGCAACAGGTTTAGGACCATGAGGTTTCAAGCGAGGAGAGGAAGGCTTATGCTTGCTGTTGCTGTGAATTATGTGTTCTTGTTCTTGCTGCTGCTGCTGCTGCTGTTGCTGCTGGCCGTCTGGTTGGCGAAACCCGTTAGTGCGGCCGTTGCTGGTGGTGGTGGTGGTAGCGCCAGCGGCGTGATTGTAATGAAGGTCTGAGGGCTTGAGGGGAGCCAGCCTGTGAGACGCTGCCACGTCAGCAGGCGTGTAGATCATTGATGGCAGGGTTGCTGAGAAAGAGGTGAACGGTGAAACAGCAGGCGGAGGGGACAAAGAGGCGGGGGGGGGGGGGGGAGGAAAGAGAAGGAGTCTATTTTGTAGGCGCTTCAAAAAGATGCTGTGGAAGTTTCAACGTCAGCAGGAGCAAAAGACTGAAGAAGAGATGTTGTGTGGAAGGAAACACATTAGGAGCAGGAGAAGATAAGGGAGAGAGAAGAGGGAGAGAAAAGAGGAGGGCGAGGGGAGGCGGAAGGAGACGGAAAGAGGAGGAGGGAAGAGGGGGGAAGGGGGAAGAGGAAGGAGAGGGAAGAGGAGGGAGAGGGGAAGCGAAAGGAAAGCGTAAGTGGAGGGAAGAGAAAAACAGGACGGAGGGGAGAAGAGGGGGGAAAGGGAAGAGGAACGGGTGGGAATGCAAAGGGCAGAGGGTAAGAGGAGGGAGAGGGTAAGGGTATGAGGAGGAAGGGGGAAAGAGGAAGGAGGAAGGGGGAAAGAGGAAGAAGGAGGAGGACAAAAGACCAGATGTGTGCAAAACACATCCACATTTGCTCTTAATGAAATCAGATTCTAAAGCTGAGAGCACGCGAACAAGGGTGTGCTCACCTCGGTCCAGGTCAAACAGGTACATGTGCTCGCCACTCCTCTCTGTTCTCCTCTCCCCAGGTAAATGCAGGTCAACGCAGGTCAACGCAGTCACCAGGGGCTGCTAACCTCGGTCCAGGTCAAACAGGTACACGTGCTCGCCACTCCCCTTTTTCCTCTGTCCTCTCTCTTCTCCTCTCTCCAAGCCAAGTCAACACAGGTCAATGAAGTCAACAGGGGCTGCTCACCTCGGTCCAGGTCAAACAAGTACACGTGCTCGCCACTGTAGCTCAACAACGCCTCCTCCCCATTGGCTGAGAAGGCCACGTGGGTCAGATGCAGGCCTGACCTCCCTTGCTGGGGGGGGGAAGGGGTTAAGAAGGGGGGGGGAATGGGGTGGGGGGGTTTGGGAGTGGGTTGAGGTTGGGGCAATTGGGGAGACTTGGGAATGGTTGAGGAGGGTGGGAGAACAGAAGGGGAGGGAAAAGCGTGAGATGCGCTGGTTGGTAATTCAAAACGGGGATGCAAGGGTCGGTTAACGGTCAGATGCAGGCATGACCGCCCCTTCTGGCAACACATGGCAAATTCAGAGAGTGGAAACGGCAGAAATTAAGGGCTTTGGGGGCAATACGGATTTAATGGGGAAAATAAGGCCTAACTAGAAGAATAATGAGTGAGATTAGGAGCAGAGAACAGGGAGGGGAGGAGGACGGGAAGGGAAGAGGGGGACGGGAGGGGAGGATGGGGTTCACTGAAGATTCACGAATGCTTTCATGAAGCAACAGTTCAAAAACGTGGTGAGAGGCGTACAGGAGCAGAGATTGGTGCTGACGGGTGCTGAAGGGTGCTGAGGGGTGCTAAGGGGCGCTGAAACGGACTGAAGGGACGTACCGGTTCAGAAAGGTGGCTGGGGGCGAGGAGGAGCAGTGGGGGCGGGGGCTTGGGGCGAGGAGAGGCGCGCGAGAGGGAGGAGGGTGATGGAAGCATGCGACGGTCGTAGATGCGAGCAAAGGCGTCACTGGGAGGGACGAGGGCGGGGCGAGGAGAGGGGCAGAGGGGAGAGGGGCAGCAGAGGGGAGAGCGCCAGGCAGGGGGAACACAAGGTGCATGAGAGTGAGTGAGAGGCAAAGGCCTGGAGGTTACTTGTGATGCAGCACTGCGAGGGAAAGAGGCGAGATGAAGAGGGCGGGGGATTACAGATTTTGTTTAACAGACGGAAGGAGTACAACGAAATGCAAGAAATCTCAGGCCCAATTCCCCCTCCCTGAAACCAACCCCAATCTCGCCTCTCCGTAAGGCTTAGGTGTAGGCCCAAAACGAATCTTCCTTTCCTTCTGCACATCAAATAATTACTCACCTTCCTCCCACCATCAGTAGGTGCGGCCGGGTTGGGCTGATGGCACAGGACTTGAGAGCCAATGAATCCCGGGGAGGATCTTCGAGTGAAACTTTTCCAGCTGCCCGAAGATCAAGCTGTGGAGGGAGTAAAAAAAGGTGGTGGAGGAAAAGGAGGTTTAAAAAGAGAAATTGCATGGAAGGGAGCAACTGGAAGTGCGTGTTAGTATAAGAAGAGTGTGGATGGCAGGGGTGTGGATGGCAGGGGTGTGGATGGCAGGGGTGTGGATGGCAGGAGTGGTGGCACTGGCATGGAGAGTGAGAGGCGAGGAGATTGGAACCAGGAAGTTACCAGTGAGGGAAGGAAGTGAGACAGAACACATGGCCTACGGGGGCACTGGCAAGCAAACCAGCACACTGCTGCGGCATTCACAAGCGCCGTGAAAGAGGGAGTGGTGGAGTTGGGAGTGTGAGCGGAGTGACTGGAAAGGGGAGGAGAGGGGGGCATCGGTTGGCATACCAGCACGCTGCGACATTCTGAGGCGCCGTGATAGAGGGAGTGGTGGAGAGGCGAGTGCGGGCGCGCGTGTGTGGTGGGCGGCGGGCAGACAGACGTCTCTCTCAAGTCGTGCTGGCGCAATGTCGCATCCTCGCTCGCACTCCACACCACATGCGGATTGCCCTCCTCCACCTGCTCGTTACAAGCACACGGAGAGGTACAAGCACACGGAGAGGTACAAGCACACGGAGAGGTACAAGCACACGGAGAGGTACAAGCACACGGAGAGGTACAAGCACACGGAGAGGTACAAGCACACGGAGAGGTACAAGCACACGGAGAGGTACAAGCACACGGAGAGGTACAAGCACACGGAGAGGTACAAGCACACGGAGAGGTACAAGCACACGGAGAGGTACAAGCACACGGAGAGGTACAAGCACACGGAGAGGTACAAGCACACGGAGAGGTACAAGCACACGGAGAGGTACAAGCACACGGAGAGGTACAAGCACACGGAGAGGTAGAAGCACACGGAGAGGTACAAGCACACGGAGAGGTACAAGCACACGGAGAGGTACAAGCACACGGAGAGGTACAAGCACACGGAGAGGTACAAGCACACAGAGAGGTACAAGCACACGGAGAGGTACAAGCACACGGAGAGGTACAAGCACACGGAGAGGTACAAGCACACGGAGAGATACAAGCACACGGAGAGGTACAAGCACACGCATGATGTAGGCTCGGGAGGGACGGGAGGACGGGGTGAGACCTCATCAAGAAAAGACTCTGAAGAGTAGGATAGGATGTACGGGATGCTTGAGCAGTGGGGCATCTGATAATACATGGAATGGAAACAAGCAAGGGTTACCAGCTCCAAGTGGGGACTAAAGTTGTAGAAATTGCTGAGAAACCTCATCTCACACTCACCGCAAGCTTCTTGACCCGTCGGTTGTGGCACCGGAACACTGCTGCCTGCTCTGATGAATGAGACGGACAGCCGGATGCAGACGAATCATGCCGGCCGGCGCCGGGCGAACCAGTTCTAGTGGGGGAGGATGACGTGGCGGCGGGAGGAGCGGCGGAGCGAGTGAGTCTGTGCACTCGCACCTGATTGATTAAGAGGGGAACGGGGAAGGAGGAGGAAGGAGGTGAGGGAAGACATGTGAGATGTGCGTAGACGGCAGGAGGAGTGGTGGAGCAAGAAAGATGTTTGACAGCTCTCGGGCATGAAGCTCACACAAAGATGTTTGACGGTTCGAAAGATGTTCCCTCCTCAGCCATGGCCCAGCGCCCTCCTCCTCCCCATCACTCGCCCTCAATACATTGTCCCTTCCCCCCCTCACCTCAGTGTCCCCTCCCTTCCTCACCTCAGTGTCCCCTCCCTTCCTCACCTCAGTGTCCCCTCCCTTCCTCACCTCAGTGTCCCCTCCCCCTTACCTCGTTGTCCCCAGCTCCAGACGCCAGCACATCATCCCCAGTCTCAGGCATGAAGCGCACACAGAAAACATTGCCCGAGTGACCCACACCTCAGGCATACCCGAACCCAGCGCCCTACTCCGCACCGCACACCACCACTCGCCCTTCTCCCCTCACCTCGTTGTCCCCGGCTCCAGAGGCCAGCACATCATCCCCAGTCTCAGGCATGAAGCGCACACAGAAAATATTGCCTGAGTGGCCCGAGTCCACTGAGTGCACCAGCCGCCGCGAGCTGTAGTCCCACACATTCACCTGCGGAGGAGGAAGGGGGAAAAGAGAGGGAGCATTGGGGGGGGGGATGGAGCGGTTGGGTGAAACAGCGCAGGCAGAGCACACAGAAGATGTTGCCCGAGTGGCCCGAGTCCACTGAGTGCACCAGCCGCCGCGAGCTGTACTCCCACACGTTCACCTGCGGAAGGGAGGAGGGGAAGAGGAGAAAGAGGGGGCCCAGATGGGTCAAATAAGATTTTGAATACGTACGAGAGGTGGGGGAGGGGGGTAGTGTGGGGGAAAGAGAGAAAGTGGTTGGGAGGGGGCAGTCAAGGGGACGGCGTATGACGAGGATGAGAGTTCTTCACTGGATGACAGTAGCAGTCCAGCCAATGCAGGCTACAAGTCAAGTAAGTATCCACACATCCTCCTCTGTGGATGCAGGAGCAGTGGTAGAAAGAAATCACAGACAGAAAGTCGCGATCACATATTCAGGGAACAAGGAAAGTCAGAACAGTACTTATAGCAGCTGGGCATGATATCACAGGAAAAAGACAAGAACAATGCAAATGTAGTAATGAATGTGGAATACTGCATAATCGGCTGTAATCCATCAGTCAACACACTGACACGGGACGGAAGCAGCATTAGAAATGTAAGCGACTAACAAATTCACCATAAAATCGTCAAACTCCCCCACACTCCTTCCCCCCCTCCCCCCCCAATCTCTCCCCCCCCCCCCCCCCCACCCAAAGAAACCCTGAAAATGTAATCTTACCATAAAATCGTCAGAACCAGAGAGAAGGAGAGAGCCAGATCTATTCCATGCTATGGCGTTCACACACCCCCGATGACCCTGAAGGGAGGAATTTCGGGTTTACATTCAGGTTCAGGGAGTGTTATGTCATACATACAAGAACATTGACATGCACGCACACTGTGAAATGTCATGCGAGCGATCACATTAAGGTGCGATACAAGCTTAGTTATATGCACGCAAGTAAGATTAAAACGAGCTACTTTAAAACAACCCAACAACAGCTTCTGTTTCTGCTTAGTTATATGACTCAACAACATTAATGAGCGAAACAGAAGGCTCTTAAAAACAAATCCAGGGGCTTCCTTAGTTTTTACTCAACAGCGCAGAAGAAACCCAACAAATTGAATTTCACAAGCCACCACCGACCTCCATGACGGTATCCAACGCGAGGCGTGACACTAACGAGGGGTGGAACTGCATCCGGCGCGCGAAATCATGCTCGCAGTAAGGGGGAGGCACCTGAAACAGCCACGCAGGTATCCACACAGGTAGGAATGTCAAACGAGCGGTTAAAAACATAAAAAACTAATACCTCCGGAGCACGAGACCGAGCTTCGACTAAGGAAGAGACACCTGAAACAACCACGCGCGTAAGGATGCCAAGGGAAACAGAAGGAGACTAATAAAGTACTAAAATAACCGGAGTTGCTTTGAAAACTCTTCAAAAGCATGAAGCGACTCAATTTATGCTAAGCGTAAAAAAAACTACTGTCGAAGTCGTCGCACACCTCGCGCGAGTCGAGTCGATGTCCCTCGAGCAGGCCGAAAATGTTCCGGTCCATCCGACGGATGTGATGCTCCCTCTCCGTCGCCATATCCCCAAAGCTGATCGTAGCCGTACGTTTTTCTCAGTAACTACTAAGCTGTTCCGGCTATCCTGCTCGACCGCTGTAGATTGAATAAGCTGTGGTCTTGCTACTATATCTAACCGCCTCTACAAGGAGATACGTTTTCGACTCTAAAATAACAACCTGTACTGTCACGCACGGAAAAAAACTGGTGTCGGTTAATTATCTTAGTTCAGTGCTCTCGGATAAACGGTCCTAAGCGCGAGAGAGTAAACAATCCTAACCATAAACCGTGTTCGACGCTGCTACTTCCGATATTTCCATAAAAAGGGCGAGCATACCCTGGGCGCATGGTCTAGCCATGTCAGGCTAGCAGCTAGCTTCTGGTTTCTCTAGGACCTTCGGTATTCTGAATGCCCAACTTGAATGTGGAAGCAACAGCGGTATTGTCGGAAGGGAAATTTGGTCTGGATGGGACGGATGGATTATAGTACTTTTCAGACCCTGAATGACGTCCCAAAACACCCTTGATTTTCAAAGGCTGACGGATGATGAATCACACCTGACCAGGGTTTCTTTTCTGGAAGCGCAGTGTACAGCACCAGTTGTTGCTGAGTACTGGTGCTGGTTCGAATCATGACCTGAAACATGTTCCGGGTCAGTGCTTCTCAGGGCAAGTACCAAAACGTTTTACAGTATCAGGAGCATGGACGCATGCAGGCATGAGAGGTGAATTTGGTGGTGCCGCTAGTCCGCCCCAGAGCAAGAATGGGGCGGGGTTGATTGCCTCAGGGATGGGGTGGATGGTGAGATATGGTACATGGATAATGGAAAGACAAATGTTTAGGAGTGACAGCTTAGAGGCTGAGCTAGTTATAAATATATTTTGAATACATACATTATCATCACAGCAGATTATTTACATATATTTATTATCACTATGCGTGTTTAAGCACTGTGCGTTATAGGGAAAACTACTCAGTTATTTATTGCTATGATGCTATTGTATAGTATAGTTAGCATTCATAAATCTCTACAGTGTACCTGTGAATATCCTGGTACATCGTCTTAATATCGAGGTCTGCTAATGAGCTGGTTCAAAACGTGGCACCATCCTTGTCCTCCACTCACCGACGTGGACGGTCCAGCGTCGCACCGCAATCCGGCTGTCCAACCATCCTCCACATGCAAGACACCACGATGCCAGCACACTCGCACGCACCTATACCTCAGCTCTGCCCAACAGGACTTCGCCACGACAGACATTTCTCGATGTTTGTTTCGCGCACCGCGCATTTCTGCGCCTCGAGAGAGTCGAGCGAGGGGGAGCCCGGTCTTGCATACCTCTCGTATCTGTCATGGGGATGTTTGGGGAGCGAGAGTAAATCGAAGGCCTTTTCCCGCTTGTTAGCGTCCGCACATCGTCTTTTAGCATGCATATGACGTGTTCCTTCTACGACTCGACTGCCCCTCGTAGATTCCGTTCCCATAGCCTCGAAAGCACCGACTCCTAAGTGGCCATGGCGCGTCCCTCCGGCCAAGTTGTAACCTACAGAATCACACGACAGCTCTCGATTCTTCCAGTGAGCCATCGTGAATTCTTCAACCTCTGCTTCCACGACACCGCAACCTGCGCGTATATCAGCAGCGCAGGATCCTCTAGGGAGGGTTGTCAGACGACTCGTAGCTTCTCCTCCATAGCCCGCCGCAGGAGCCGCATCGTGGCTGGTGAACCTGTTGGATTTCAAGGAGCTACGCACTCAAATAGTTCGTCCGAAGCCACTCAAGTGCCTCTGAATTAACTCGAAATTTCTCTTTGTCCGCCACCCATTTCGTGAAGAAACGAAGTAGTATCCGACACTCTCAGAGGCTGTCATTGAGAGTGTGCTAGAATGGACGCTAGCGTGAGTGCTCTCACTGCTACTTCAACTAGCCTGGCGACGAACACGCCGCCCCCGTGTGTGGCGCTCGCCTCACCGTCTCCTGTGCGCGCCTGTCGTAGGCAACCCGCGTCGTTCGCGCGCTTTCACAGTGTCTCCGGTATTCCCAGGGGGAGTCATTCCGGCTTGGCGCGCAGCTCGTTGACGTGGCGGACTTCCGCCAACGCTGGCGGTGGCGGTAGCTGCGCGCGGAGCTTCCGCCGACCTCCCGCCATCTCCTGCGCCCTCGCGACCCCCCCGGATCCCGCGCCCTTCGAAGGACCCGCTAAGGCGCTGGGCGGAACTCCCGTCACCCCTGCGGGAGAGCGAAATTCGGGGGAAGGAAACACGAAGACTCTCGACGACTTGTTTGACTCGGAGGTGAAATCGCGCGACCAGTTCGTGTGGGAGAAGAACTGGTACCCTGTGGCTTTAATCGAAGACCTCGACCCGAGCCGCCCAACGTCGTTCCAGCTGCTAGGCCGCGACTTGGTGATCTGGCGCGACTCGCAGGGCATATGGCGGGCGCACGCGGACCGCTGCCCGCACCGCCTCGCGCCGCTTTCCGAAGGCCGATTGGACGAGAACGGGTTGCTACAGTGCCCGTACAACGGCTGGTCGTTCCGAGGCGACGGATCGTGCGCGGTCATCCCCCAAGCCTCGGACACAGGCCCGGAGTCCCGAGCCTGTTCCTCGTCCCGAGCCTGCGTAGCTTCGTACCCGGCCCTGGTTTCCCAAGGGCTTCTGTTTGTCTGGCCGGAGGAAGGGCGATGGGAGGATGCTCTAGCTGTCGAGCCGCCGCGATTGCCGGACGTGTTCGAGGATGAGGGGTTTTCGAGTGTGACTATACAGAGGGACCTGTATTACGGATTCGATACGCTCATGGAGAACGTGTCGGACCCTTCCCATATCGAATTCGCGCATCACAAGGTACGAATTACACTGGGTACGCGTTACAGGGTAGTGCTCGTTACAAGGAGACCATGGTAGTAACTGGAGAAGCACGACAAAAACTACTGACAAACTCAAAAGTCTGCCTTACTTAAGACCCCTACGTTAGCTCAGTCATTCAAGCCTCCTCTCAACGTTGAAAAGTCTGACTGTTTGACTCTATGCTGACTGTTTCTCCGTCATCCTTCCTCGCTCTCGCCCGTCTCGTTTGCTCCTGGTTACCCTATTCGCAGGTCACGGGGCGCAGGGACCGAGCCAAGCCCCTGCCCTTCACTATCACATCCAGTGGACCGTTTGGGTTCGCAGCAACCACCGATACGGGCACACCCGCTACAAGCACACCCGCTAAGAGCACCGATACACGCACACACGATACCACCCCTGCTGGCGACGGCTCAACTGCTCAGATTTCCTCCTGGTTCATGGCTCCTTGCTCTTTCTTCAGCCGAATCGACCTCTACCCAATCATCCCCGTTATAGGCAGGCAGCACTGGCAGCTGTGGATCTGCTCCTTTAACGTCCCCATGGGCCCGGGTAAAACGCGGTCCATTGTTTGCAGTGCGAGGAATTTCGCCCGGCTGACTGTTCCTGGAGGGAAGTGGTGGCAGCTGTACCCGCGGTGGCTGGAGCATCTGACATCAAATCTGATCTACGATGGAGATATGATTGTGCTGCAGGGTCAGGAGAAGGTTCTGAAGGGGGGGGAGGGGGAGGAGGAGGGGGGGGGAGTGCCGTATAGTAAGCTGACGTACACACCGGCTGCTGCTGACAGGATGGTTTTGGCTTTCCGGAACTGGCTTCGTAGGTACGGCGGCGGCGAACCTGCTTGGGACCCGAGCCTAACCGCAGGTCCGGGAGGCGCCGCACCTCTCCCGTCCACGGTTCTGTCCCGGAAAGAGATGCTTGACCGGCTCGGGCAGCACACGGAAAAATGCTCCTCCTGCCGGGCAGCTTTGAAAAATGTGAGGAGGCTGGCTGCTGTGTTGGCAGGGGCGGCGGCAGTGCTGTTAGCGGCAGCAGCGGTGGTACCTGGGGAAATGGTGGGGTTTGGAGGCAAGGCAGGGTTGGCAGTGGGAGCGGTGGTGTTGCTGGCAAGTGCTGCTTGGCTCAAGTATGAGCTTGAACCGCAGTTTGTCCACCGGGACTATGTGCATGCTGACGTGGAGTGATGATGGTGATGGGAGAAGTGGAGTGAGGATGGGCGGTGGGAGAGGTGTGGTGGTGGGAGGGACTGTTGGGAGGTGCTGCTTGGCTCAAGTATGAGTCTGAACCACAGTTTGTTCACCGGGACTATGTGAATGCTGATGTTGAGTGACCATGGGAAGATGGGAGGTGGGAGGGGTGTGGTAAGGGTAGGAGGTTGCAAGGGGCAGCAGAAGAATGAGCTTGAACCGCAGTTTGTTCACCGGGGCTACGTGCATGCTGAGGTGGAGTGAACATGGGAGGGGTATGAAGGTGGTGAGAGACGTGGAGTAACAGTGGGAGGTGGGAGGGGCGTGATGGTGGTAGGCGTGGGGACAATGCTGCTGTCAGAGACCCTAATTTTTTAGTCGACTCTAAATTTTTTAGTCGACTCAAAGCTAGGCGTGGGGACAATGCTTCTGTCAGAGACCCTAAACCCTGCTTGCTGCCTTGCTGACTTTTTCGTGTGAAGGGAGGGATGGTGTGAGGTGAGGATGATTTTAGGAGGATGATGTTAGGAAGATGATATTAGGTGTGACTGCTTGCAATGATCTCTTGGGCGATTGCTGATACGGTGTGTGCTTGGTGTGTGTCTTCTGCTCGTTGCCTATGTGCTTGACAAATCATGTATATATTGCAGCTGTGTATAGTTAGGGATTAGAGTTGCAATGTGTATACCTGTATATAATATACATGTTTGCTGGATATATATTTGTGGAACAATAGTCCATTCCATGATGTATAGTATGTGTGCAAAAGAACCTACAGATTGTGCGAACACCCCCATGCCAGCCTGCTTTGTATACCACAACCTACCCTACTGCCTTGCAGCAGCACTAGTACCGGTACGAAGTCCCTTTCAAGCTCAGCAATCTAGCAGCACTAGTACTGCTACAAAGTCCCTTTCAAGCTCAGCAATCTAGCAGCACTAGTACCGGTACAAAGTCCCTTTCAAGCTCAGCAATCTAGAAGCACTAGTACCGGTACAAAGTCCCTTTCAAGCTCAGCAATCTAGCAGCACTAGTACTGCTACAAAGTCCCTTTCAAGCTCAGCAATCTAGCAGCACTAGTACCGGTACAAAGTCCCTTTCAAGCTCAGCAATCTAGCAGCACTAGTACCGGTACAAAGTCCCTTTCAAGCTCAGCAATCTAGCAGCACTAGTACCGGTACAAAGTCCCTTTCAAGCTCAGCAATCTTACATATGACAAATGTTAATTCATACCACTAATGTTCATCCTTCATCCCCCTTCTGCTCCAACGTCCCTCCCCTCTAGGCCCAGCTGCAGAAAATCTTCTGGGTACTCAGACCCTCGCACTCGCACACCTTCACTCGCAGACCCTACCACTTGACGTGAATATTCCTCTTCACTCCGCGTCTGCTCTGACGTCCCTCCCCTCCAGTCCCAGCTGCAGCAAATCTCCCGGATACGCTGACCCTCGCACACCACCTAGGTACGTTTAATCGCTAGCAACTCGTACCACTAGAAACACCTTTTCACTCCCCTTCTGCTCCTCCCTCCTTCCCCTCCAGTCCCAGCTGAAGCAGATCTTCTGGATACTCAGACCCTCGCACAAAACGAGTGTATGACACTAGAAGGGAATGAGGGGGTGGGGTAGGGGGAACAATACGAGTGTAGGAGAAGGGGAGGGGTGGAACAGGAATACCAAAAGGGGTGTGCGTGCGAAGGGGGCGGGAGAACAGGGGAGTGGAAGGGAGAAGCGAAATCCAAACATCCATTACAAGCACAACTCACCACAAGCATAACAGCTCACAAAGACAACAATTCACAAGTCCAGAGGCCTTGACACACCAATCCATTTACACGCCCAGGAACCCCTTCACACGCCCTCTCACCGTTCTCAATCTTATTAAGGCTTGCAAGCATCACATCCATCTTCTTCCCCATCTCCTTCCCCACCTCGCTGCTCCTGGGCAGCAGGCTGAACCCCGCATACAGCCTCTGCACAAACAGCCGACATGCATCCGCATCCACCACCACTGCTCCTCCTCCCTCCCCGGCCTCTGCCGCAGGCTCGGCAGTAGCAGCAGGTCCGGCCGCAGCAGTAGGTTCGGCGGAAGCCGCAGGCTCGGAACTTGAAGCCTTTGCTTGAGCCTCGGGTTGTTCTCGTTGCCTCTTCCCTCGCCTGCTGGTCCCTTTTCCAGTGGAGCCCTCACCACCATCACCACCACCCGCGGTACCAGCAGCAGCGCCACCAGCACTGGCACCACTACCATCAGCAGCAGCAGCAGCACGGCTGGACACGGCTAGCCTCATTACTTCACCAGTCAAATCTGCTAGCTGGAGGAGAGGAGGGGAGGCGTGGGGAAACAAGGGGGTGTGTGGGGGGGATTTATCACCAGCAGCACCAGCTGCAGCATCACGACTAGACACGGCTAGCCTCATGACTTCACCAGTCAGATCTGCTAGCTGGAGGGGAGGGGGATAGGAATAGGGAAGGAGGGAAAGAGGGGGGGGGGGGGGGAGGAATTTATCCTCAGCACCAGCACCACTACCATCAGCAGCAGCCGCACGGCTGGACACAGCTAGCCTCATGACCTCCCCGGTCAGATCAGCCAGCTGGAGGGAAGGGGAAGCGATGGGCGCGGAGAGGTGGGGAGTTGAGAGGGGGATTTAAGACCGTCGTTCTCCCGCCCCCCTTTCCCTCTCAACCCCAGAACTCACGGTCCCGCCTTTCCTCACGCCTCCCTCCCTCACTCACCCCCAGAACATAGTTAGCAGCATGCACGTGGAAGGGCAGCTGCACACACGAGCATCCCCAAGCTCGCCCCCCTCTGTAGTTGCCCCTTCCCCTCCCTCACCCACCCCCAGCACATAGTCCGCAGCATGCACGTGGAAGTCCAGCCGCACACGCTACTACCCCAACTCACCCCTCAACCCCGTCTCTCCGCTTCCCACCCCACGCTCTAATCCCCCGTGCACTCACCCCCAGCACATAGTCAGCAGCATGCACGTGGAAGGTCCGTCCGTCCCGGTCCAGTATTCCCTCAAACGCGCCGTTCACCTGGGGAAGGCACGGCAGGGCAGGGCAGGGCAGGGCAGTGCAAGGAGTGAGCAGAGCAAACAGTGTGAGGAGTGCAGTGCAGCAAGGCAAGCAGTTTCCCTGTCTGGCAGAAGTGGAGGAAAGACGCCGCCTCCACATACTCTCTTTTCCCGACCACAACCACCCCACAACCCTATCAATCCCCACTCAACCGCCTCTCAACTGCCTCTCACCTCCCCCTCCTTACCACCCACACAGCACCCCACTCACCTGTGTGAGCGACAGCAGACGGCCTGTTTGGCGGAAATGCAGGAAAGATGCTGCCTCGACATACTCTTGCAACTGCCAGGGACCCACGCGAAGGGAGAGGATAGGGAAAAAAAAACGTCGCCTCAGCAGATTCTTGCAGCGCCGAAACGGGGAAAAAAGTAGCAGAAGTTTAAAAAAAAAGTGCTGAGACAGTATGCCGGGAGTCCCCTGGGTACTGATGGGATGCAGTGCCCTCTACCTGGAAGAGCCCCTGCCCACCCCTCCCCACCCAATTCCACCGCATCCCATCGCACCCTACCAACCCCCCTCCCCCCAATGACCCACCTCCCACGCGTAAGCGCGGGTGAAGCGCCAGTAGTCCTCTGCACTCAACTTACGAGCCACCAGGGCCATGTGACATGCGGGGGAGCCCCTTTCCACCCCACCCAATTGCACCCCATCCCATCCCATCCCATCCCATCCCATCCCATCCCATCCCATCCCTCCCTCCTCCACCCACCCCCCACGTGTACGCGCGTGTGAACCGCCAGTAGTCCTCTGCATTCAATTCCCGCGCCACGTGGGCGATGTGGTGGGCGCGTAGTGACGCCAGCTGCTGCGCTGCTGCCGCCAGGGCGTGAGGGGTGGTGGCTCTGAAGGTAGGGGTGTCGAAGGGTGGATAGAGGTGGGGAGGCGTGGGGATGGAGCAGGGGGGAAAAGGGGAGTAGACATGCGTCCTGTGCACTCAGTTCCCGGGCCACTTGGGCGATGTGGTGGGAACGTAGTGACTCCAGCTGCTGCGCTGCTGCCGCCAGGGCACCAGGGGTGGTGGCCCTGACGAGGAGGGGTGGAGAGGGGTGGGGAGGGGTGGGGGTTGCGGCAGGGAGGAGGGGAAGAGTAGAAGTGTCCTCTTCTGCATTCAGTTCCCGGGCCACTTGGGCGATGTGGTGGGAACGTAGTGACGCCAGTTGCTGCGCTGCTGCCGCCAGGGTACGAGGGGTGGTGGCCCTGGCAGAAAGGGCGGGGTGGATAACGGGGGAGGAAAAAGAAAGAAAGAGTTTTGACAGCCGCTTGGGCGATGTGGAGGGCTCGTAGCAATGCCAGCTGCTGCGCTGCTGCTGCCAGGGCCCAAGGGGCGGTGGCTCTGAAGGTAGGGGTGGAGAGCGGTGGAGAGGGGTGGGTGTGCAACACGGAGGGGGGAATAGAGGTGTTCCTCTGCACTCAGCTCACAAGCCGCTTGGGTGATGTGGAGGGCTTCTAGCAATGCTGCTGCTGCCAGCTGCTGCCAGGGTCCGAGGATTGGTGGCCCTGGAAGGGACAAGGGGGTTGGGGTTGGGAGAGGAGAGAGCGCAGTGCGGGTGCTGGATTGGGCAGGGGGCTTGCGATGTGGCGACGGGTTAGACAGGGGCTTGCGATGTGGCGACGGGTTAGACAGGGCGACACATGTTCACGACGAAAGGAAACCGTACCATGTATTTTATTTGAGTCGACTCAGAACACGAAACCGTACCATGTATTTTATTTGAGTCGACTCAGAACACGAAACAGTACCATGCCACGCCAACATGTTTGTTACGTCATAAATCCAGTTATCAATCCACGTCAGCGCACCTGTGGATAGCAAAGATAATCTCCTTGCCACGTCACAACTGCCACGTCAGCGCACCTGTGGATGGCAAAGATGACCTTCTTGCTCTGTATAGTCACGTCCCTGCTCGCCTTCACCAGTCTCTCCCTCCGCTCGTTCTGCAAGCGCGATGTGGTACAAACGGGAGAAGGTGACAGAAACGAGCGGGAAAAGAAAGAGAGAAGAAGTCAACCAGGTGCAGCACCGTAGCCACATCTCGATTGTAACGACCACTTTTTAGAAATGATCACAAGCGATAGGACTCTACTAGACAATTTTTGAAATTATCACACGCATCGTTCGAATCCCATCTGCACCCACTACCGCAACGCACTATCTCGTCTAGAACTCGCGCGTAGCCCTCGAATTCCGCCGCGATAGACGGAGAGCCGTCATCCTCCCCCATATTGCCCTCTCCGCCCTCTCCGCCCTCTCCGCCCGCTCTGCCGTCTCTGCCCTCTCCGCCCACTCTACCCCCGCCGCCCTCTCTGCCCCCTCCGCCCTCTCTGCCCCCTCCGCCTTTCTGCCCTCCTCCTAGTTTGTTTGCCTCAGAAATACGAGTCACAGTGATGCTGGTAGCAGCACCGTCACCGTCGCCATATCGCGAAAGAAGGGAGGCACGATGAAGACCATGATGCTGCAGGGAGGCACGATGAAGACCCGACAGCAAGTCACTTCAGTCCACGGGTACTTTTTTTCCGGTCTTCGGGAATTTGCACTGCTCTGCTTTGGGCTCGCCGTGTAACGCGGCGAATGATGTGGGGCCGAAGCGATGAGGGAAGAGCAGAAACGAGGAACGAGGAGAATGAGGAATGTGGGGCATTTTTCTCGATTGTGGGATTTCACGCATTTTGTACTCGCTAAACGAAGATGTTCACACGGATATTAGTCTCTTCAACCCCGATTGTTAATCAAGCAGATAAGACTTCCTCCAAAACTCAAGCACAAACAAACAGGTTGTAAGCTACAAAAACAGCCATACAGATTCTGAAAGAATAAATAAAAATAAGAGCAACTAAGCTGCTGCACATCAACACCATGATTTCACTACAGTACCACAATTTATAGGGGAGCCATGCTCCTGTTAGATGTTACATGCTCTCTAGTACTATATGCTGTTTCACAGCTTCCTTCCATATAAGCACCTTCCCAACGGCCAAATCTACTTTCGATATAATCCCTCGTCTTACTTACCCATTCCCTCCATTCCAACCACATAACCTCAACCAACCCCAAACACTTGTAGACAAAATACACCATAATAGCCGGTGCCAACGCGACTCCACCTCCCATCCCCCTCCTCCTCCCCATCCACACAACAAACGCCACAGCCCCCACCGCCTCATGATGCACATTTCCCAGCAAAAACGACAAGGCATGCAGCCCCGCGCCGATCCACAGGCCCGGGACTCCCCCGAGCCTCAATGCGACAGCTCCGGCGACCTTCAACCCGAGCCTCGTGTTAGCAGAGAGGATAAGGACCAAGGACAGCCATGCTACAGTAGCGTTGGTACCATAAAGAACCCCGAGGATGATACTAACGAGGATGAAAACGAGGTCTGAGCCAAAAGACGCCCGCCACTCGGGCTGGAGAGGGGAGAGGAGGATGTGGAGGAGGGAGGAAGGAGCGTTGCGGAGAAAAGAAAGGATGAAACGGGCGTATGAAGCCAGAGGAAGGGTTGAAGCTTTGAAATACGGGGAAAAACCACCACCACCACCAGCAGCAGAGGCGGCGGCGGCGGCGGCGGGCGTGGCGGGTGCATGATGCTGATTAGGCTCATCCCGCTGCGGTCTATTGCCTTCGAAAACCTTTTCTCCTGCGAAGGTTGCCCCTTGCTCCACTCCTCCTGAACCGCCCTCAGCTGCTGCCGCAACACCACCACCCCCAGTGGCAGCAGCAGCAGCAGCAGCAGCAACACCTCCTCTTCCAGAACTGCACTCATCTCCCTCCAACAGTCCCCCCTGTTCCAGCAACCCATCTGATCCAGCCTGCTCCGCTCCCTTACATCTGCTCCTCCCTGCCTCCTGCCCTGCACCATCCCCTGTACGCCAGTCCAACTCGTCTCCTTCAGCGTGTCTCCACTTCCTGTCTTCCCCCCCATGCCTCTGCTCCTCCTTGTGTTTCTCATGCTCACCACGCCATGCTCCCTTGCTCACGACCGTAGAGGCATACGAGGTGCTCATGCTGCCGCTGCTCCTGGTTTTGAACGCCGCAACACGCCGTGCGCGCTGCTGCACTGCCAGCGCCCACCGCGCGTGGAACAGCCACCGCAGGTACCATGCAGAGAAGATTGGGCACTCCGAGGTTGAGGCTCGGGCCAAACCTGGGCCAGGCTCGACGGAGGGCCGGGCCGAGGCTGAGAACGCCCTGTCGAATGGGTCGAAGCTGGTGTGGTGGTATGGGAGGAGAAAACAAATCAACAAGTAGGATAAAGTATGGGGTAACCATTGGGGTTAAAGGGTACCAAGAACGTGAATCTACTGAATTTTGCCTACTTCAATTATTTTGGTGCTTTTGAGGCTGACCTGGCAGATGATCCGTGTGCTGACGAGGCAGATGACACGGACGACCAGTGCCGCGTGGGTCTGCGAGTGGGAACACCAGCAACACGACTAGCAGCAACGCGAGCAACTGTACCGCCGCGACTAGCAGCAACGCGACTCCCAACAGCGCGACTCGAAGCAGCAGCGCGCTGGATGCTAAGGTCGTAGAGACAGCGCTGCTGATCGTCTGACAGAACCTCGTACGCCGCCACTATCGCCTGGAAGGCTCGGCCCGAACCTGAGGCTTGGGACACGTCCGGGTGATACTGCGAGGGAGGACAGGGGAAAGCAAGGGGAGGGTAGGAGTGGGCAGGGGAGGGGGAGGGACGGTTGGAAGGGGTGTGAGGCGACTTGCGAGGGGAAAATGGAGTTACACGTAACGGGCGAAAGCGCAATGCAACGCATCGCAGCCATAACAAGGGACGAAATGAGTACTGGCGGCCGTCGCTGTCTCTGTCTCTGTTTTGCGCACCTTTCTCGCCATTTCTCGAAACGCCTTCTTTATTTCCTGTTTGTTCGCGGTATAAGGGACCCCAAGGGTTTGGTATAAGTCCGTCGCGGCGCGCACAATCACCGCGCTCCTGGGTCGAGCGCGGAGAGGCTCGGAAGAAAAAGACTTGAGGGGCGTTCCAAGGTTCGGTCCGAGCCGTGACCTGAGGCTCGGTCTGAGGCATTTCGCGCGTGGCGGAGGCTCGGACGCGGATAATTTAGCCGAAGTGGGAGGATAGCGGCGCTGCGACGTTGCTTCGCGAGCGGCTTCAATCGCGCAGACTGGGCCGCTATGGGCCACAGCGAGGGACATTGTACTGACCCGTTCCTACATTAAAAATAACGGCTGCATAAGGCGCAAGGGAATTTATACACGAGGTCGTCTAAGTTCAAGGGAAGGGCATGACGCTACGACCTATATCGCATACACTCTCTTGCCAAGGGACCTTCTATTCCTCCCAATCGTGCTGTAAAGACGAACTGAAACTAGACGACCAAGTCTCGAGTCGCTTGATGAACTGCGGAATAAACGTCTATAAAACCACGAGGCGAGGCATCAACATCAACATCACCACTCGCCATACCACTCACGTCACGACGAGTCACCTCACTCACACCACTCACATGACTTCACGACAACCTACCCAGACACGAGCAATGAGGGGCGAAGGGGGAATACCCAGAGCTGAGGGATGGGAGTCGGGGGATGGGAGGGGCGCTTACGGATTGGACGAAAATTGGTTTCCTAGGCGCGATCTCAAAACCTCAACTGTGAGCTGCCCACATCGAAACGCAAACATTTGTTCAGAAGGTGTACTGAAATACAGGGAGGTGCCAGAAGCGAAATGAAGAAGCGATTTTGCGTCACAGAAGTGTCAACTGTTTATCCCTAAAACGTTAAACAACAAAAATGTTTAGGCTTGTTGTGATGCGTTGCTGGGCGGGCAGACTTGTCACCTTTTGGCGCAAATGCTGGATGTGGGCGCAAGGCCAGTACCGCTAACGAGACTCCACTACAAGCAGGAAAGTTCCCTGCAAAAGGTTTTCTGTTTTCCCGTGTAAAGAATTTGTACAAAGACACAGAAGGATAGGCTATATTCCCGTACCATCTGATTATGGGATTGCTCAACGCTTGGAATTATTTATTGATGATTATTCAAGGCTAAAATGTCAAATAAACTCTTATTTGATAGGGTGCAATTTCAAGCACAGGATCGCTGCTTAAATCATGGAAGGCAGGAACATTTGCTCGGTGAGGTTCTGCGCGGCTTCCTCGGATGGAAAGCTCCTGACAGCCCCGGTGGTCCACGAGGAAATGACTCCGGCAGAAATGGCAAAGCGAATGGCCCTCTCTAGCGCATCTTGGTCGCGGAGGATAGACGGGTTGGTTGAGAGCTTGCGCAAGAGACCTGGCGGAGGGAGGGTGGGGGGGGGGTGGGGGGAGGAAAGAGAGGGAGGAGAGGTAAGGGGGTGGAGAAGAGGCTCTGATTGGCTCCCTCGGAGGGAAAGCTCCTGACAGCCCCGGTGGTCCACGAGGAAATGACTCCGGCAGAAATGGCAAAGCGAATGGCCCTCTCTAGCGCATCTTGGTCGCGGAGAATGGCGGGGTTGGTGGAGAGCTTGCGGAGGAGGCCTGGGGAGGACAATCATACATGGTGAAAAAAGGGAGAGGTGGATAAGGGCAGAGGGGGTTGAGGGAGGACTATTGGGTTCCGGGAGGAGGGGAAGGAGAAGAATTACTAAACATGAGCAGCTCTGTGACTTTGCAAATGGCAAAGCGAATGGCCCTCTCTAGATGGCGGGGTTGGTGGAGAGCTTGCGCAGGAGACCTGGGGAGGAGAATCGTACAGGTGGTGAAAAGGGATAAAGAGGATGGAGGGAGGAAGGGGTTAAGGTCAGTGGGGGTTGGGGAAGGAATAATGGGTTGTGCGGAGAAGGAGGCAAAGCGAATGGCCGTCTCGAGTGCATCCTGATCGCGGAGAATGGCGGGGTTCGTGGAGAGCTTGCGGAGGAGGCCTGGGGAGGAGAATCATACATGGTGAAAAAAGGGAGAGGTGGATAAGGGCAGAGGGGATTGGTGGAGAGCTTGCGCAGGAGGCCTGGGGAGAAGGGTGAGAGTTTGGGAATTGATGAAAACAGGGGAGAGGAGAGATGGGGAAGAGGGGGGGGGGAGGCTGGGGTGGTGGGGAGGGGAGGCTGGGAAACATCCTTTCACCCACTCTGTCACAGCCCGGCCACATGCCATGGCTGCACTCAGCACTCCTATGTGCCCTCCACCCACTCCTCCCCCACCACCCACCCATTTCAATCACACTCCCTGTAAGAGCACTCACCTGCCACAAGCGCATCCCCCGAACCGGCTCGATCATACGTCATGGCAGCAATGAGCACGGCTCCACCCACTCCCTGCACCCACCCCCTCAACCTACTCTTCCCCCTTGCCCTTCTGCACACCCACCTGCCACAAGCGCATCCCCCGACCCAGCTCGGTCACACGTCATTGCAGCAATCAGCACGTCCTCTGTGCCCTCCACCCACCCCCTCCCTCCACCCACTCTCCCCTCCCCCAGACCCCCTCGTTCAATCACAGCCTCTAGAAGAGCACTCACCGGCCACGAGCGCATCCCCTGACCCAGCTCGGTCGCATGTCATGGCAGCAATCAGCACGTCCTCTGTGCCCTCCACCCACCCGTGGAAGCCCCTCCCATAGTAGTGCACCTGGCAAAGGGATGGGTGAAATAATGGAATCAATTCGTCTTGAAACTGTCATGCAATGGGCGTTGGAGTCGACTCACACACGCCCTCCACTCCACTCCACCCACCCGTGGAAGCCCCTTCCATAGTAGTGCACCTGGCAAAGGGAAGGGTGGAAGTAGGGGGTCGAAGGGTAGGGTTTGAACAAATGAGTCGACTCACATGTGCCTCCACCCACCCGTGGAAGCCCCTCCCATAGCAGTGCACCTGGCAGAGGGGAGATGGATGGGCATGGCAAATGGGACTTAAGACATCTCAAACCCCACCTGTGGAAGTCTCTCAAATGTGTACATACTTGCACACAGCCAAACTTGCATGCTCCAATGCTTCACTTCGTTAATACCTGCATGGTCCCATGCGTCACCAGCAGCAAATCCATGCCCTCATGCCACAGCCCAGCCAATTCCTCCGGCTTCCAGTGATACACCCCTTCGCCCTCCTACCTTTCAAGTTGTATCTGCATGCTTCAATGCTTTCATCCTTACACTCTTCCATACCTGCATAGTTCCGTGAGTCACCAGCAGTAAATCCATCCCTTCATGCCACAGCCCAGCCAATTCCTCTGGCCTCCAATGATAAACCCCCTCGCCCTCCCCCTCCTCCCTCTCCCCTCTCAGCGTCAGGTAAGAGTCCGAAGCATACCGCACCCGAGCCTGCCGCCGCCGCAGGAACCGCTCCTCCCCAACCAGGAACTCAGCTTCGGCACGGGACACCTCCACCACCGAGGCTCGGCGCCAAACCGGATCCAGCGCTGCCGATGCTGAGGCTCGGGAGGCCCAGAGGCAGAGGGGGAGATTGACGTCGAGAAAGAGGCGCGGGGAGGAGGGGGGGGAGTGTGGGGAGGAACGGGGGGAGGAGGGGGCGAGGGAGTGTGAAGGTGGTGGGGAGGAAGAGGAGGAGGCGAGTGGGTGGCAGCCTGCGGCGTCTAGTGCGGCGAGGAGTGCAGTGCGGTCGGAAGGGGTGGCGAGAGACATGGAGGTGCAGTGAATCCACGAAGCCTGAAAAGGAAGGGGGAGGGGGAGACGAGAGGAACGGTACGCAGTTAAGATGTTTGCAAAGTTGGCATAAGCAAGTACCAGGAGACTGAGAAAACAAATGCAGAGCGGTGCAGAGTGGTGCAAAGTAGTGCAGAGGATAGGGGCGAACGAGAAGAAACTGGAGAATCGACTCAACCCAAACACGATACTGATTGCCATGCCTCAATGCAATACGCATTCCACACCCACCTGCCTCTGCACGTCCTTCGCGTCCCCAGATCAGATACACCCCCCCTAGATGCTACCATTTTAGGTGCCTCAACAAGACCCACCTGTCTGAGCACGTCCTGTGCGTCCTCAGATACACCTCCCCCAGATGCTGCCGCCGCCGCCAGCGCCTTTACTCTCCGCTCCCCATCACCCCTCCCGTCTCTCGACTCCTTTCTCTCCTCCTCCTCCTCGTCCTCTGCCACTTCCTCTTCCTCTTCCTCCCCTACTTCTTCCTCCTGCTCTGCCACGTCACGCGCTTCCTCGGCCAATGGGAAGCCGACACGCCATGCAGTGCCTGCACTCGAACGCGAGCCGCTGGTGCTCTTTTTAATCACCAAACCCCCTCTAAGCA